GCCCAGAACAGAATGAAGACAACTTACGGGCCGAATTGCATTTCATAGAAGAAAGAAGGGATCTGGCAGCTGCACGAATGGAAGAGTATCACAGAGCCACAAGAAGATATTTTGATAAGCAAGTTAAAGTTCGTTCAATCGAGTTAGGGGACCTGGTGCTAAGAAAGCGAGAAAAAAGTAAACCGCTCGAAGGTGGAAAAATGGCACAAAATTGGGAAGACCCCTACCAAATATGTAAGAAGTATGCTTCAGGGATGTTTGGCCTACAAAATACCGAAGGCCGACCGGCAGGAACTTGGAATGTGGAACATCTAAGGAAATTTTATCAGTAAAAACGGCTGTTGCCACCTCTAAAAAAAATGTATAGAGAGGGAGACATAACTTCCACATAAACTCAGACCATGATTAACACGATCATTCTGGATGACCGAATGAGGAACGAGTTAACTACATGGAAGGAAAATCAATTCTCAGCTAAGGGAGTTTTTGACCCTAGATTTATGAAAGAATAAAGGGATAAAAAACGGCTTGAAGAATTGAGGCTCAGGAAATCGGTGCCCGTGGTTAACTCAATCATTCCGGATGACCGAATGACGAACAAGTTAACAGCATGGAAGGAAAGTCATTCTCAGCCAATGGCTTGGAGTTTGACGCTCAGATAGTCTCACCTCAGCGGTTAATATGAGAATCGATTCTGGAAAACCGAATGACAAACATATTAGCAGTTTGGAGGGAGCCATTATTTCAGCAAGAGTTTTGACCCTGTAATTACGCATTGATAAAGGGATCAAAATGGCCTGGAGTTCGAGGACAGTGATTCTCACCTCAGCTTGTTAACACGTGGAATCATTCTGGATGACCGAATGACGAACGGGTTAACAGTTTGGAGGGAGCTGAGTCGTCAACTTAGCCAAAGTCGACCCTGTAATTACGTACGGGAAAAGGGATCAAAACGGCTTGGAGATGGTGTCAAGACTGTAAGATGTGGATTAACCGAGCGACGTTCGGATAAGGTACGGATTGTCGCCCGGGGAATCGGAACTATGGTTTTGAAAAAGCTCGCCTCAGTCATGAACTTGATTCGGAAGCGAGTCGCCCTTTTAGCTATAAGTAAGGAATGACCCAAATTCGGTGATCTTGCTTACAGTTCGAAAAGGGTTACCTCAGACCCCTAATATGGATGATACGAGCTAGAGAGAATAGTTCGGAATGCATCGGAATTATGGGTTTGGAAGGGAGATAGCCTCACCTCAGCTTGTTAACGTGTGGAATCATTCTGGATGACCGAATGACGAACGGGTTAACAGTTTGGAGGGAGCCCCTATCCCAGCCGAGAGTTTGACCCTGTGGTCACGATCAAAACGGCTTGGAGGAATTCACCTCAGCTAAGAGTTTTGAACCCGTGCATCACGAACGGAAAAAGGGATCAAAACGGGTTCGGGAAAGGTGTCAGAACAATTGTAAAGAGATAGCCTCATCTCAGCTTGTTAACGTGTGGAATCATTCTGGATGACCGAATGACGAACGGGTTTACAGTTTGGAGGGAGCCCCTGTCCCAGCTGAGAGTTTGACCCTGTGGTCACGATCAAAACGGCTTGGAGGGATTCACCTCAGCTAAGAGTTTTGAACCCGTGCGTCACGAACGGAAAAGGGATCAAAACGGGTTCGGGAAAGGTGTCAGATATAAAGATACATGAGCCGAGTGAGATTCGGCCACATAGAAAAGATTGTGAACAAAAAATCAAAGGAAGATAGAAAAAAAGACAACAGATAAGGAAAGAAGTCCAGTTTATTCTTCGGCATTACTAGCCGGAATATACAAGAAGAATGAATAAGCAAAAAATTACAGCAAGGCTACACTACTGGAGGATTGCCGTTCAGGGAGGATGGAGGCTGAGAGCTCCCTGCCTGCACTGCATCGTCAGGCGCTGCTTTGGATCTTTTCTCCATGATGCGATCGTATGTATTCCCGAACAGATCGTCGAAGCCTAATTCATCAGGATCGAATGGCTTGGGGAAATGCTCTAGGATCAGTTCAAGATTCCTGTCCAGAAGCAAGTCCTGACTTTGCTTCACAGTTTTCTCGGTCAGGACATCCAAGAAAGATTTCCCTTCCGGCGTGCTGTCCAGGAGGTCGATTCTGCCTTGATGGGATCTGAGCTCTCACGCAAAAATTGGCCAAGGTGAGGACCTAGGAATTGCCGGGCCGTGTTCTCCAGAGCGACGTTCAGCCCCTTGCCCCGTTGAAAATCCACTATCGATTGTTGAGCAATCTGGGAAGTATTGACCGTGTAGGGTTCGGGCAGATGGTCGCCAACAGCCTTATCAAATTTGATACCAGCAGATTCAGCAGCCCGCACCTTGGCCCGGAGTTCTTTAAGCTCCCGATCGCGACGACGGGACTTCTCCTGCATCTCAGCCAGAGCAGCTTTTGCCTTCTCATCCTCCTTGGCCTGCTCTTGGAGATCGGCCGCTAACTTCCGAGCGGCAGAAAGGAGGACCTGGCCGTCATCCCGATCGCTGGCCAGGGCTTTCATTTCCTTCTCAGCTGCAAGAAAGGCCTTGTGATAATATACGCCAGCCTGAAAACGAGATTACAATGGAAGTCAGATAAAGTAAAACATGAAGAAATGGAAAGGCATGGATCGGAATGAAGTGTACCTTGAGTGCTTCCTGGTGACCTGCTTCGAAAAGATCCGACCAGTGGGTCAGGTTCGTGAAGCTTGGGGGAACCTTGATTGCAGTGTGACACCACATAGAAGATGGCATCAACCCGAACAGATACCTCCCTTCTGATCTGGGCCCCATGTTTGAAAACTCGACAAACATCCGATCATCGATCGGTGCGTCAGTAAGAGCCGGAGTTGATTTGTTGGCAGGCACCGATCTTTTGGGCTCAACCTCCGGCCCGGTCAAATCAACCACATGGTCGATCGGGATCAGTTGATCGCCATCATTCCCTTTGCGCTTCTTACGGGTTTGCTCCGCCGAGTCACGACCGGCTATCATCTTCTCCTTTCCTTTACCGGAAGAAGCCGTCAAGGTAGCAGAAGAGATAGAGCGCCGGACGGGTATGGGAGATATCACACCTACAAGAAAGAAGAATAAAAAATAAGAAGCTGATTTGTGAGAATGAAGGATGACCGGGTTAAAATCTTACTACGCTTACCGATTCCAGCAGATAACATGCTCGAAGTAGTGACAAAGCTCCGAAGACTTCGGGTCCCTCCCATCCGCAAAGACTCAGCTTGGGAGCGTAAAACGGCGTCCACCCTGGGCTGAGAATCCCGAACGGGGTATGCGTTCCACCTATCCGGGAATGGCAGAGAATCACCTACCCGAACGAACAAAAACCGCTCCTCCCAGTCAGCCTGCGGGGTAACATTCTCTGTGAACAGCTGACGATCAGAACGAGCTACCAGTTTCAGGTACCCGGTCGTCCAGTAAGGTTGATAGCAATAATGGTGAAGGAACAGATCGACGCTTGGAGTGATCCTCAACTCATGGCATCGAATGATGAAGCCTGTCAGAATGCGGTAAGTGCTCGGCACGAACTGAGCGGGCAGTACAGCAACCCGGCGTAAGAACTCCACAATGAATGAATGGAGAGGGAACCGAAGCCCAGCAGTCAGAGCATCAAGATGCACTAGCACGTGCCCCGGTCGGTGCCTCATCGGGTGCCGAATGAATCCGGCGTAGTATTCTCTTGGTGGGGGCAACAACTGGCTAAGTTGCCGTTCGACATCTTCTGGAAGACGTTGTTTTTGTTTGCGTATGCGAGTGAAGTGTAGGGGAATGCGGGGTGGCCGCTCGGGCATCCCCTTGTTATAGACTTGGAGGTCATCTCCGGACAGACATCCGTCATCCTGTGGCTGTTCGGTGTGTTTGCCGGCTTGAGGATTGGCGGGTTTGGGTGTTTGGGAAGAAGAGCCTTCGGCCTTGTTACCAGCGGATGTCTTGCTTGTGCGAATCAAAGGCATCTCTTCAGATTCCGAGCTAGAGGGGTAGTACATAAAAACACTGGGGAAAACTCTGGGAATTCTAGAGAGAGAAGGCTTGAGAGTATGCAAGAGAATTCTGGGAATTCTAGAGAGAGAAAGCTCGAAAGAAAAGTGAGAAAACAGCAGGAGAAATTAGGGGAAGCACCTCTCTATAAATAGGGGAAGTGCCGCACAAATCCCTAATCCATGAGCAACACGTGGCTTTGGGTGGTTACGATTAATCTGGGGCATTTATGATTCATTTTTTGTGCACGTACCCCGGACGGGCTTACAGAGGATTAGCAAAGATCACAGGGACTTGCTGTTTAGAAAAACTGCTAAGTCCTAAAAGTTAACCTGAAGCCCGACCGGCTATCAACGTTGTAAAAGGTTATCTGAAATCAAACAGCTAAGTCCTAAAAATTGATCTGAAGCCCGAACGGCTACCAACTTATGAAGAAGCCCAGGTGCGAAGAAAACCAAGAAAACAGCTGTCCTAAGAATTGATCTGAAGCTCGACCGGCTATCAACGTTGTAAAAGATTATCTAAAGCCAGAATGTGCTAAGTCCTAAAAAATGGTCTGAAGCCTGAACGGCTGAGTCCCAGAGAGAAGGGGTTTTTTCCTTAATAAATTATCAAAACCTTCTAATGCCCGAACGGCGATCAACGGCATTAGGAGTATTTGAGCAAGAAATAAAGTCAGGAAATTGGTTAAGTCCTACAAAACGGGCCGAATCCCGAATGGCGAGTAAATCATGCAATAAAGACAGAAAAGACAGTACACAAAGCTTCATGCAAAAAAGGGATATATATTCATCGGTTCTACTCACCGGGAAGTACAAGCTACTTAGAGAAAAGAAAATTACAACAAGTAATTAAAAAGTACATATAAATTATTGGCCGGGGGCCATTTCATCTCCCTCTTCGTCCTCGTCCTCATCATCATCAGACGGGGGCTCAGGCTCTCTCCCAGCAGCCCGATCAGCTTCCCGTTGCTGAGCTCGCAGAAATTTCTCGAACTGAGCCTGTATAATGTCATCTTTGGGAAGATCAGAAGCCTGAACCGGCCTCCCCAGATTATTTTGAAGCTGAGCAACGAAGGGACGCAGCAGGACCTGGCCAATTTTGCCATAAAGGTCTGAAACAATGGAGTCGTTCCATTTTTTGGCCTCGGGATCCTTGTCCAAGAGGGCCACCCCTGCCGATAGCCGACCAGCACCTTTGGGGAAACCCTTCAAGTACGCCCCAAAGGCGAACGGGATTTGGGTCCTTGCGTGATCATCCTTGATGATGGAGAATTCATCAGAGGATTTAAATGTTTCCCGGACGGCGGACAGATCCACGTTCACTTCATAGGGACCGTCCGGGATGCTGGATGGCATTTCTTCAAACTTGACGTGTGCGGCCTCAGCGGCAAGGACCTTTGCCTGGGAAGCTGCAAGTTGGACCCGAAGGGTACCAAGCTCAGCATCCAGCCTCTGCTTCTCCTCCGCAAAGGCCTTCCGTTCAGCCTCCAGAGAGGTGATGGCTGCAGCAGCATTTTGCTCAGCAGAAGATTGGGCAACAATCAGTTCCCATTCCTTGGCCAGACGGGCTTCCCGCATTTGAAGGGTGTACAAACCCATCTACAGAGCACCGTTCGAGAGTTAGTACTGATTACAGAGAATAAAATAAAGACAAAGCGCAAAAGATAATGTACCTTCAGAGCGGTCAAAGCCAGACATTCTTCAGATTGCTCGACCGGCAACTGAGGAAAGGGAAAAATTGTTGAACCAAGAGGAGGTCGACCAGATCTGGCTCGCGGAAGAACCATCCCTTTCTAATACCTCGTGGACAGGATCAGATAAGGAGATCTGCTCGACCTGACCAGTAATATGGTCGGTATGGGTCTCACCTGCATTCGAGGGTTCCCCCCGAACGGAGTCAAAATGCTGAGAGAACTGATGCAGTTGGTCAGAACCGAACCGATCGTCGACCAGCATGGCCTCGAATTGGTCCTGATGGACCTGCTGTATTGGCTGTGGCTCTAGAAGCGGTTGAGAAGAGGCGGCATCCTGAGCAGGAATAATGGAGGGAGTAGGTTGGGGGTTCTTCCTGGATTTTTTCCGTTTACTGGCCCCACTGGCTGCGATAACTCTGCTATCATCCATAGGTAGATCTGGGTTTGGTGCTGAAAAAAGACAAAAGGACAATGTTAGTATCGAGCGGCCTTAGCGTGCGAGAAACTATAAAAAAGAACAAAAGAACGTTTCTCGCACGGGAAGGACCGCCCGGACCATGGCACTTGGTTTCTCAAAACAAGTAAACCCAAGAGAACGGGCAGTACCTATCCCGGCTGTAATAAGTCGTTCGGGAGTCAGATAACTCATGATGTCCATGCATTTATCCTTCTCCACAGCAAACACGTCCTTGTAAATTTCTTCAGTGAGGACATGATCAGGAGTCTTGCGGGGGAAGGCATTCCATTTGCGGGGAATTAGGCCGTCCGGGACAGACACGAAGAAAAATCGGTCTTTCCACCCTTTGATTGAAGTTGGGTTTCCCTTGAACAGGATGTGTCCCGTTCGGGCACTAGTGGCCAGATAGCCGTGGGTTTGTTGGGGGGCTACCTTGAAAAATTGGTGGAAGAGTTCTAGGGTTGGTCGGGCGCCGACATCTTTACAACGGCAAATAAAACCCGCCATTGCCCGATAGGAGTTCGGCATAATTTGGGCCGGTACGACTTCGTAGAAATTGAAGAATGAAATGTAAAAGGGGTGTAGCGGAAACCTAAGGCTGGCCCTAATTGAGTCAAAATGAACTATGGTCATTCCGGGCCTATGACGCATTGGGTGAAGCCCAACTTGCAAACGGAAATCCACCGGGTCAGGGATAAGGGCCGGAATTTCGGCCATATTATGGGAGGTCAGTTTTTGCCGCCTCTCCCTAATCAATTTTAGGTCAAGGGTATGGCGAGGACAATCGTTGGGACGTCCGGCCGCCATGGAGGCTATTTCGTCCTCGGATTTGGTGTCGTCGGAATCTTCACTGGAGGAAGAAGAAGTGCTAGGAAGGTCCTCCGCCTCAGCCCTGGTATTCGTCGTCGTTTCAGTAGAACCACCGGCAAACGGGACTGTGATGACGTCCACAATGGCGGCGTCACGGTCATCTCCATGGGAGGCCATCTCCGAATCAGAGGAATGCTGTTTGGGGCTCATCTCGGTCGAGCCAGAAATGAAGATAAGGAATCCGGATTTGAGAAGTTACCTGAGCGATGGAAGCTGGGAGAGAGTTGCAGGGGAATCAACAAGGCGCAAAGAATTGCAGAATCGAAACCCGGAATTGAGAAGTTAAAGGCTAATTTATAGCCTTGAAACCGCCGTGTCAAGAACCAATCAGACAGCGACACGTCACTAGGAGCATTTAAGCTAAACACGTGTCTAATGAGAAGACTAAACGACGGTTATCATGATGAATATGGGGAAATGAAGTGGCAGATGCAAATCGCAGCATGGGGAACTGATTACTTCTGTACCCCGATCGCCATTCGGGGTATTATAACATTGATATACTTCCTAATGCACTCACTATCGTTCGAGACATCGGAAGTGGGGGACTTGTGTTGGGATATTGACCTAGAGGCCCAATACCCAGATCGAGAAGGCCCAAGATATCCGGCCCAAGCAACGGGCCCATCACTCTATGATGAATAGATCCAGTAAGAAGACATACCGAACGGAGTTCGGCCCAAATAAAGGTTGGCCCAGTAAGAAGACATACCGACCGGGGTTCGGGCTATATATCGTACTTGGGCCAATTTGACGTCATCTTCAGTACAACCCAACATCCCGGTCGAGCAACGGCCAACCAGCAAGTGGCCAGGTGCAATAAATGTCAGACTATGACATCAGCAAGTGGAAGCATGGATGACCAAGTCGGTGGAACAACGGCCAATCAGCATGGGGCAGCCCATGCTCTCCATTAGTACAAATAGAAGGTTTCAAGTCATTGTAAGGGTTAGCATTTCAATACTCAGGCTCTAGAATAACATCATTGCTCTTATTTCTTGTATTAAAGCATAGTTTCCGACCTACCGACCGGGAATTTTCCTTGTAATCAGACTGGTTAATTAATACAAGTGAGCTTTCGAGTGTTAGTTAGTTCAGATCTTATATTTTTTACACGCTTTGATTCTGTGTCATTCCTGATATATCCAAAGTTCGTGTTGGGCTTTCGGATCTACGGGACTTACCCTCAACATGACTCATTATTGAATGACCTCAATTATACAATCCCTAATACGTGCCAAGAATTCTCAACCGTCATCTAATTTCCCAAATAAACTCCAAAAAGCTTGTGCCCAACTGAAGTATTCATCGCCGCTATCTCCCTGTCCAATCATCTCCATAAGTGCATATCACAATACTCAATATCGTCGATCACTGTTTAACCTGGGTGTGCACCGCCACCGACTCATCTCTCAAGCGTCATCTCCGCCGTTTCATCTCTCAAGCGCAATCACCGCCACTTTTCTTTTTCTTCTTTTTTTCTATAGGCGACTCACGCCATTAATGAACGATGGCGGCTAAGGTTTTCAATGGGGCCGGCGTATGATGGTGGTACATGACTAAGGAATCAGAACATAGGGACTGGATTTTGATTAGTGGGGAAATAACGGGCTGGTGGGCAGTGGTGGGGTGGCAAGGAGTGTCGGGATGGTGCCATGGACAATTGGGCAGTGGAGCCCGTGGAGGGTTGGGGTTGAGGGGGCGGGGACCTAGGTAAGAGAAGTGGCCGAGAAAGGCTAGAGTTACATTGAGGGTGGGTGGTGGCTAGGATTTCAAGACGGGATGGTCGACATCAAGGCGGTGGTGCAAGGCAAGTCACTGAGTTGGGTAGTGACAGATCTTTTGGGGTTAATCACTGCGTGTTTGGTGGAAGTCACTGAAAACGAGCAATGTTCACTATGACCGGAGATGATCACTGAAAAAGACAGTCACTATGAATATTCAGTCACTATTAAATCACATTAACTCACTACAAAAACATAGTGACTACTCCTTGCAGATACCACATACACTAGTCATTGATAAATTTAATATGATAGTCACTATGATAATAGAAAAATAAAAATAAATCACTCTGAATATTTTCTATTATTCCATGTATTTGGAGTATGTTATCAAATTAATATTTTCTTTATGTCATATGTGGAATAATGGAAAAAATAGTGGAATAAAAAATGGAAAAAATTCCACTTTTGGTCCCACGACTATTATACCACTTCCACATTTAGTCCTTTACTTTCAGATTGTCTACATTTAGTCCGTGACCATTATCCCCTCACCACTCCTCGTCCTTCCGGCCAAAATTCCGGCAAATTTAGTCCACTTCTCAGCCTTAGAATCAGTCGTTGCATTAAATTTTGTATCAGGTTGGGTTTTTCATATCAGTCTTTGCATTAAATTTGGTTTTATATACCTAAAATCTGCATTAAATTGCCGGAATTTTTGCCGGAAGGACGAGGGGTGGTGAGAGGATAATGGTCACAGACTAAATGTGGATAATCTGAAAATAAGAGACTAAATGTGGAAGTGGTATAATAGTCATGAGACCAAAAGTGAAATTATTTTGATATGGTGGTCACTGAGATAACAACAATGAAAATCAATGGACATACCATCTTGGGAAGGCCAAGAAAAGAAAATAGAGCTATTCGTAATTCTTGTTTGATTAAGATCCCAATTAGTAGGTATATCAATTAAATTATATCCTATTATTTTTTTGCATGAAGATCAGTCCCAAACTCACGTTAGTATTTAAAGTCAATACTTCCGTTTCAATCATAACTATGGATAGTCATATTAGTGGAATATTTATCTTGTGACCACTTTCTTGTCATTTAATGTATTAATAGTAATATTCATAAAATAAAGCCATCCTTTTGATGATCTTTATCTAGTTTAAGCTCAGAAAATCCCTAATCTATACAAATTACAAGTAACTAGGAAAAATAAAGTATTACACCAAAAGTGTATAATTTCCCAAACAACAACAAATAAAACTAGTTAAAATTACAAACATAAAAAATAACAATTTTATACTATCAAACTCCCCCCTACTTAGTTCATTACTCGTCCTCGAGTAAAAGTCCACATAACAACTCACAATCCATTTAACAGATAATTTCAAAGGAATAAAACATTCAGTTTGTTCATCCATCCTCAAAATACAAAGAAAAGAGGGTCTTCATGATCTTCAACGACAAATGTTCTTTTCATTGATTGTATTCCAAAAACTCCCAAATGAAATGAGTTTCTGTATAATCTCAGATAAAATTTCCTCTCATTCTCTCATTCTGCCTAGGAGCCTTTTTAGGTTTTCATCCTAGCCTCTCCTTTTATTTTACGTTTTCTCCCAACTCACTCGTTTTAGCCACTTTTGCTTAGATTGCTCAATTTTTGGGTTTTCAACCTAACTAGCATTTTTCTTTTATTTATTTATTCTATCTTTTTTTTTTGTTTTGAAGAAAATAATGCAAGTTACAAGGTAAAAAATGAGTATATACCAAATGAGTTACTCCCCTCTACTTACTTCGAGCATTGTCCCTAGTGCTCCTTGCTTTCATCCTGCCTTGGTAGTCATGAGTATTTTTGTTCTTGAGAAATTGGGATTTTGAGAAAGTTTGGGCTAGTTTTTCAAGTTTAGGGATTGGGGGAGGCATATTGGATTTTGATGATATGAGAGTGATGACGGAGATGAGATTTTTTTTGGTGATGGGTTGGGATGATTTTGAAGAGGGAATTTCGTGGCTATGGTTCTTGGGGAAGATTAGTTTGAAAGTTGGGGAAGATGGGGCTTGGTTCGAACTGATTTCGGGATAAAATTGGGTTAAAAACCCATAAACCCGATAGAGTTTTGAAGAACCCGGACGGGTTTTTGTTCACAGGCCTGGCAGTGGCAAAATTATCACTTTACCCGGTCGGGTTTCTGGTAGACCCGATCGGGTAAAACATTATTTTCAGTTTTTTAGTGTTTACCCGGCTGATTTCTTTCTCGGGAATGATTTTTAAGCCTATTACCTGATCAAGTATCAGGTTTACCCGACCGGTTTTTCCCCAGGCCTCATGAAAACTTTTTTTTTGAAAAGTTAAACATGCACTCTCTCACAACACTCAAACATAATGTAAGAAATGAGAAAATAATTACGTACCTTGCATGAGTTGCCTCCCAAGAAGCGCCTTATTTAACGTCGTGGCTCGACGCCATCTTTGTGTTCAGTCATTCAAATTTGGATCATGATAGTTTATCTTCTTCACACTTTCACTCCTAGGACTTCCATAGGAGTGCTCAATTTCTCGACTCTTCACTTTGGAAATCTTTCCAGGATCAAATATCCAGATTTTCATTGAGTCAATTGGTGGGAGGAAAGGGAAGAAATTATCGCTTAGTATGGTCAATGAAAAGTTTTTCGATCCCTCAATTTTGAAGAAGATTTCAAAAATGTCATTGTCCTTTTCAAGTTTACGAGTTTCTCTTAAAGCTTTCAGAGATGATGGAGATACATAAAATGATGACAAGGACAAAAATTTGAATTTGAAGCTCAACTTATCCTCTTTTTTGACCAGTTGAAGCTCTGTGTCTTTTTCTTCCTCTACTTATTCTAGATTCTGGATCTCCTTTTGCATTTCCTTTTCATTTGTCAATGTGATTGCAAAAGTTTGCTGTTTAGGATCACATTCTATTTGAGAAGAAATTTTTCCGAATCCCTTGCTTCAAGCCTACTCACGGCTCCGGCTATTTGACTCACTTGAGTTTCCAAGTTTAAAATACTAGACTTGGTCTCATTTTGGAATTGCACCATGTTTTGTTGCATGGTGGTCACACTGTTAGTAAGAGCCCGAACAATGTCCTCCGTGGACATATTAGAGTTGGAGAATGGATCATACCTCATGTGAGGTACATAATCCATTTGTGCAAGGTATTCTTCTTGGAGCTTTGGGCAAAAATCCGTAATATTCTTGTGAGACATGCAAATATTGCAGGTCTTGGCATCTCGAGTTTCTGAGCTTAAGATAAACTCCTTAATGAGAGAAGTCAAAACGGAAATTTGACTCTCTAAGGATGATGTGTTGCCTTTACTCATGTAAGCTTTAAAAATAGAAAGTTTTTTTTTTGTTTTTTTTTATTTTTTTAAATAAAATAAAAATAATAATAATTGCCTTTCCCCGGCAACGACGTCAATTTTGACGAGCACTTTGTCACGGTGCATCAAAATAAATTCAATACTAGCATTAATACGTAGTATAGGTGAAGTAGAGTTCGTATCCACAGGGAAATGAATTATTATCTTTTTATGAAACTAGTAAATAAAAGGGGGGTTGGGGGTTGGGATTGAATGATTTAATTTAAAAACTAAGATGAACAACATTCCCACCCAGGGTGAAGAATTCGCCGGCCTCATAATATTCTCTGCCCTTCCGGGCCATCCATTCCCACCCAGGGCCCTCGGCCCATTCCTCGACGTATGCCTCCACGACCGAGGACAACCACATCTTGCGTCCCTCGGCTCTCCAGCCCTCGGCGACGAAGGCATCAACGGCCTCCTCCTGAGCCTTGGCGACGGCTAGCGCCTTGGAGTCCTCGGCCTCTTTGGCAGCTCTCCTGGCCTCCTCAGCATCGGCCTCAGCATCAGCCTTGCTCTTCTCTGCAGCCTCCAATCTTAGCTCCATTTGCCAAAGCTCCTCTTCTAGTCTGGCCCCCAGCTTCACCGCCTCTTTATTTTTGAGGATGCACTCCTTCATCTTTGCGTCCTGCTCTGCTTTATGGAGGCGCCATTCTTGAAGCCTCCGGGCATGTTCACCGAGGGCTAGACAAGCCTGCAGATCAACAACCAAAACGGTTAAAGGCAATCACACAATATGATCAAAGGAGAATATGGAGAAAGCCAAGTGAACACTTACAGAGAGGGAGGAGCGGAGAATGTGGTCCTCGAGGGCCGCATCATTATAAGCCCCGAGGGCAGCTCTATCCGTCTCAGGGGTCATGCCCCTCAAGATGGCCCCCGGGTCGACAGCGCCGCTGGCCAGGGAGGTACCCCTCGGAAACGAAACCTGGAGGACCTCAGGCAGCAACTCCTCTGCCCCCGCCGGCGTTCCACCCGACGGCTTCTCCACATGAACCCCGGAGGCAGGGTGCTCATCAGCAATGATGACCGGGGCTCCTTATCGGTGATGTCCCCCTTCTTCGGCTTTTTGATAGCCGGGGGGACCCCTTGGTCGCCGCCTTCCTCTTGCTAGCAGCGGCATCGCCCTCGGTTTTCTTGAAGAGGGCAGTGGCGGGCTTCTGGTTGCCCTGTCCAGACCCCTTCGGGTCCTGTTTCTTCAGGCGAGCAAGGCCCTTCACGTTCACCATGGAGACGGGGATACCTGCAAAAGATATGACAAAGGGTTAGGCCGACGGGTCTAAGCGAAGGGACAATGACATCCAAAAAAAAAAACTAAGTACAAAAATCTAAAGCCCTCGGCTCCTACCTCCGGCTCCTCCGAAGGCCTTGTTGAAGGGAGGGTACTTCTCATCGGTCTCCCCTATGAAGCGGTACCTCCGGAACCCGAGGGTGTATAAATCCTCCTCGAGGGTGCAATCTTTGATCGCCACGTTCTTATTTTTCCCCTCCGGGAACTTGGCCAGCTTTAGGCCGTCTTTCTCGAGGGCAGCACTCCTGATCTTTTCGTGCCTTCGGAATCGATCGCGCAGCTCCCTCGGGAATGGGTTCTCACCCAACTTTACGTAGCACCAACGTTCCCTCCATCCTTTGTTGGAAGAAGGAGCATCGGAGAATAGCTTGAAGCGGGCAATCTGCTGCAGGTTTGCGTATCCCTCGCCGTTTTCGTGCCCCCCCCCCCCCCCCCCCCCGACACAAATTAAAGCTCTGGAAGAATAGATCCAGGCTGGGCTTCACCCCTCGGGACTTGCAGAGCTGGAGGAACCCCGCAATGTAGGAGTGGCTGTTGGGCGTAAGTTGGCAGGGGACCAAACCAACAAACCTCAAGTACTCCCGGAGGAACGGGTGCAGAGGGAACCTAAGTCCCATGGAAACCGAGAGGACGTGGATGGCGATACACCCCTCGGGCGCCCTGGACAACACGTCGTCAGGACCTGGCTCCACCACTTCGGCCGAGGGCCCCACGTGCAGCTGAGTCACGTACAGATCTGCCCTATCAGCCTTCGACCTAATCTCGAGGGCCTCAGTGTTCAGCCAACTGTACCCCTCGGGCATGTCCACTGGCTTTCCTTGATCGACGGCCCTCTCCTTCTTCTTGGTAGCGGCCTTCTTCTTCTTCAACCCGGAAACCGCCCTCAGAGGTATCGGATCTAGCGGCCTCGAGCTACTGGCCTCCCCAGGACCCCCCCGGGGGGGGGGGGGGGGGAGAACATCAATTGTAACCTTCGAGCTCTCATTCTGCGCCTCATCCTCCGCTGCTTGCCATGCGAGGGCTAAGTCTTCATCCTCGCACTCTTGCTCGAAGCCCTCGGCTTCGACCTCAGCAATGAGTTCCTTCTGGACCTCCCGGGCCAAGGCGGCATCAGCACCGTCCGAGGGCTCGCTCACGGACTCCACATCTGAAGCGTGCTCCTCATCAACCGAAGGGTCCCCCGATATGTTTTGGGAATCGCTCTCGGACGACATTCTTTGCCACGAAAAGCACCTAAGGTTTCGAAAGATTTCTACGGGACCCTAACCCTAATCTAAGGCCAGAGGGCGGAACTTACAAAAAGTGCTGAGGGGAAAGCGGGACACTGACCTTGAAAGGAGTTTGACCGAAGGCTTGAGTTTCTCTCTCTAGAATTTTTTGCAGAGCTTCGCTAGGGATGTTGGATGCGTAAAGGAGGAATGACCCTGGCTTGGGGTATTTATAGGCTCCCAGATCCGGGCTTGGGCCGAGATCCGGGCTCCCAGCTGGCAAAGCCATCATTACGCACCGTCGTTTCACCCAACCGGTGACGCCCGCCCGCGAAAACACTATAAAAAATGTTTTTTTCAAAACAAAAGCCTTTGAAAACACTCCATTATACTATCGTATCATTTACTCCGTACTACGTAACTTATTTAAACATAATCATAATTTATTTTTTTCTCAATGTATCAAACTAAAACACTCACATAAACTCATTTCTCAGCCCCAAGACTCCAAGAGGCCAACACTTCTTTCATCACGTTTGCGCTCTCCCCCGCGGTTCTGCATTCTGCTGTTCAATATCCACCGTAGCCTAGCAGCAATGATCGCGACAGTAATTAAGATTTCAGCACATTTATCTTTATCACGAGTTACTATAGCCCTAAATTATCTTTCTAACTGAGTTTGTTTCTTATATTTGAAATTGTTCTTGAATATGGAGCAGCAAAGAAGTGGATCCGGGCAATGGGCAAGCCCGAGATCCCCATCCTCTATCCAATCGGGACCGTATCTTTCAGTTTCAGTGACTGATCCAGCTAAAATGGGCAATGGCGTCCAAGCTTATATTTCATACAAAGTCATCACTAAGGTCATCATTTGTTAACTGCCTTTTGAAGTTTTTTGTTTGATAAGCAGTACTACATATTATTTAATTGAGAAAATTACCAAGATATGGCTAAAACAAAATAATCAATTAAGCAGGACTAGCATTTCCCCCCTAAAATAGGACAACCACTGCTCCCCCACAAAGTAAGACCTATTCACTTAATTACTCATTAACGTTTCAACTGTTTTTATTTTCTAGTAGTACTGAATAAGTCATATTTTAGTAACAAACACAGTTAATCCTGTTTGTAAACTTAAGCACATGTTTTACTCCTACTAGGAATAATTTATTTTATTTTATTTTATTTTATTTTATTTTATTTACTATCTGAATGTCTAGACTTTCTTGAGCAAAGTGTTGGGAACATTATCTATTGATGTTGTCCAGTTGGATTTGGGCAGAAGGGTGCTTAAGTATAAAGAGTAACAGACTAATATACAAATTTATGGCTACTCCTCTTAAAAGTCTGACCCTTTTACTACGAAACTACAAATCCCAGGTCTTAATAGTCTTTTTGGGCATAGGATCTTCTCATTAGGGTTAAACTATAAGTAGTATTTTCTACCTGTTATTTGGAGTTAAAATTTTGTGTTTCGATGTGTGTACTGTACCAAAATATGTAATTGCAAATGCTAAAACATCATTTTAAATTTATATAGTTCAGAAAGATAATTTTTTTATATTAAGAGAGTTGTTTCTTCAGACTGTATCTTTTGGAGGGCTGCAGAGTGAGGCCTAAAGTTCTGTGATGGGTGGGAGGGTCTTCTTTTTATTCATGGTTAACTGAACTAGTTTAATGGTTATTTGTGTTTAGTTTTAGGTCTCTATAGTTTGAAGTACAAAAAGCGACACTTCTTGTTTCAGTTGTTTGTTTAAGACTTCGCTCGCAACAACAACCCAGACGTAATCCTGCTCATTAGGAGTCGTCGGCTACATTAACTAACAGAAAATCTCTCTAGTTCATCTAGCAAATACCCATTTTCTCATGTATCATATGCTTAATGTGCTTGAACACTAGTGTCTTTTTCACTTTCAGTGAATGTTGTTTTTAGCCCTCAAGGTCGCCTCTTTGGGTCTCAACATTTCTAGACTCTACACGCTGAAGTCTGAACAGGGTCACTTTCTTTTTGACGCCTGATGCACTCGAATCAATGTAACTGGTTTGCTTGTACTTTATCTTGAATGACCTTTAGCCGCTAGACTCATTTTCTCCGAATCTCCCCATTCCACAATCTTTCTTATTGATTGTTATAACATCCATCTTAGCATACTCATCTGTGTCAGTCATCTTCTATGTTGAATCTTTCTTAATAGCCCAACAATCCAACATTCTTATTCATACAATGAAGCCGGTCTTTAACATACTTATAACAATTTTCCGTTAGGTCCCATAACGATCCCAAATCGCAATATACCCCTATGCATCCTCCTTAGCTTAGTTAACATACATTGATCTTATTTGTCACATACTGATAGTTCATTTGCGTCCAATTTGGCCCAATTTTTTTTTTAAATCTTTAACGGTGAGAGATTTGCACTTCAACAGGTCCCCTTTTACTTTGACTTTCTTCCAATTCTCGTGAGTGTAAATTTTAACTTTTATCTCCATATTTCCAACTCAGCATTTAACCCTTTTTCATATTCACAAACTAACACAATATTAACTGCAAACAGAATATACTATAGTAGTCCATCTTGTGTAGTCCTGTAAACTCATCTAAAGACATGTTAAGTTTGACTTATTTCAGTCCAAGACAAGATCCCATCAGACTTGAATAGACTAGATCAGAGTAAACCCGGCCAACATTTAGTAGTGATAATAAAAAACACATAATATTAGTCAAAATCAATTAAGATGATAAGATCAAACCAGTTCAGTCCAATTATCAGGCCCTAGAATTCTAACTTGAGAAAATTCAAGCAGGCTGTGTTGGCTCAACTTTGCACTCTCAAATTAATTGCTATGGTGTAAGTTTTCCTTATATGCCAAAATGACTTAAGTGACTCTTGAAATATGGTTAAGTAATGCTGAATATTTTCTTAGGAATGTTCAGTCTATAATACTTTTTCGCCTCGTGTGATTTCAGTACCTGACACTGAGTTTTCAGTTTTGGTGCTATGACTCTACAGTTTGTATGCCCTCCATCCCACTAAACTTGGCAATTTACTTTTTATATAAACAACAACAACATTACCTCAGTGCCGCAAAGGCTCCCACCTACGGTAGGGTAAGGGGGTTGGATGTATGTAGCATAACCCCAGTACTAAAGCACATACATATTGTTTCCGGATGACTCATGATGAAAATCACGTTGAAAATTGCATGGACTAACTACTGCTTCATAACAAAGAAGCGCAGACAGTTTAGTGAGACATATGATCAACATAATTTTTATTTTCATATATTGAGTATCAATTTTTCATCGTATTTGAATTCTGTATCTAGTACGAGAATTGTACTACAAGTGTCCATATTAGTGTAGGGAGGACTACAAAGTTTCCTATTACTGTCTGAGTGCAACAAGTATCATCTCTGAATTCTTTCAAGTTTCAAATAAACCTATAGTCATGGTTGAACTTACGAAGTCAGTTCAAGACGATATACCGTGGTGCATGATGTTTGCTGACGATATTGTATTGATTGATGAGACATAATCGGGTGTTAAAGCAAAGTTAGAAGTATGATTACAAACATAGGAGAACAAGAGTTAGAGACTGAGTCAAAGCAAGGGTGAGTACATGAAGTGCAAGTTTGGTGGAGGTAGAAACACTTGTAACAATGGAATTATTCTAGATGTTAAGGATATACCAATGAGTGATGTGTTCTGTTACTTGAGCTCCGTAATTTAGAAGGAGGGTGAAATAGATGGAGACATTTCCCATAGAATCAAAACAGGGTAGATGAAATGGAAGGGTGTGTCAGGATTTCTATGCGGTCGAGGTATTAATATATGACATATAGTATTGGATGGTGAAACAATGTCACATTCTAGTTGGATGTGTGAACATACTAGTAAAGATTGCTAGAGGACTCAGTTAGACAATTAGACTCGGTGATGTACCTGTTAGACTAGTTGAGAAGTGTGGAGAAGAGGTGGGGAAGAGAGGAAGAGGAAGACCCAAACAATCATAGATTAGAGAAGTTAGAAGTTATATGTGTCTTCTTGAGTTGGACAAGGGTATGGTTTCGGAGAGAGCAAAGTGGAAGGCGGGTATTCGTGTTGCGGATTGATCTCTTATCATCCTTTTCCCTTTATCTTCTTTTTCATTCTTATAATTTTTATGCTTTGTTCTTCTTTATTTTATATATATTCTTTTTATCCTTTTTATCTTATCACTTTATGTACTATCTTATATCTTATCTCTATTTTATATTATCTTTTGAGATATTACTCGAAATAAGACTAAAACAGTTTGAAAATTCCAAAATAGAGCTGCCATGTTTTTATTCCCAAAATAGGACTAATTACTGCCATGTTTTGGCAGTACCAGACTTCAAACATGGCAGTATTTTCTAAACATGGCAGTAATTAGTCCTATTTTGAGAATAAAAAACATGACAGTCCTATTTTGGAATTTTCAAATTGTTTTAGTCCTATTTCGGGAACTTTTCCTTATCTTTTTATCTTTTCTGATCATACCTTATCTTTTTATTTGTATTATCGTTCTTTTTCTTTTGGTTCTGATATCATGTATCGATTCATGTTTGCCGGCCCCAAGTTCTTTTGGGACAAAAGCTTGGATGGTGTTGTTGTTGTTGTATTTGAATTCTGCATCTGAGTTTCAAAAGAACTTTTAGTATAGTTTCTAAATAGGTACATATTAAATATTAATACTAATTTAAATATTGTTAGGGAGGAATTAAATATATCATTCAACTTCGTAAACTCTAACAGGCTAGGCTTAAAGGGACAGTGGGAGACTGGGAGTATATTATAATTTTTATAATATACCAAGAAGTAATCATATTTATACTAATCATGTTGTTTTTGAAAACTATCACCAAAAATTGAAAATCACTTGGACACTTGGTTTTCATAATCTTGTTTTTAGTTTTCATTAACATAGAAAGCAAAAGGAGGAGAGTGATACTAATTTGATCCCTGTGTATACTAATCATGTTGTTTTTGAAAACCATAACCAAAAATTGAAAACCACTTGGTTTTCATAATCCGGTTTTTAGTTTTCAATAAAAGTAAAAGCAAAAGGAGGAAAGTGATACTAATTTGATCCCTAAGTATAAGTGTTGTAAAATGACACAATGACGTTGCAGTTTCATTTTGTGGGAACCTGATATGCTGTGGTGATTCGATTCCTATTGTCCAATGTCTTAAGTACAGGAGATATTCAAATTTTCTATCTGAACAACACTTTCGTTGTCATCTAAGACATTTAAATCTCATGCTGTTGTCTTACTTAGGTGGACTGTTCACCTATAGTGAATAATAAGCAAATTATCCATTACGGAGTACTACTCAGGGGATCCGATTGCGTGCTTTTCTTATTATTCTGAAATATATTCTACATGTGCATATGGCTGGGAGCAACTGGTTCATGCTTCTTACGATTAGCTGAGTTTTGATTGAGTCACTTATAAATTGTGTACTTCTTTTCTTTTAGCTCATGAGTCATGATATGACCATATTTGCACAATGCCTTATAGTTCGAAATGTTTGTTGGCAGACTAATATGTCCGAGTATCATGGCCAAGAAAAGATTGTTATTCGACGTTACAGTGATTTTGTTTGGTTGCGTGATCGTCTTTTTGAGAAGTATAAGGGCATCTTTATCCCTCCACTTCCAGAGAAGAACACTGTTGGTAATGAGCTACACTATCCCCCACCACAGACACACACTTCCTGGTTTCATGGATATTTGATTTGGCAATCAAATTTTATTGTTATGGTATTTGAGAGTAGCATATATCTAAATGTCGTTCTCTTGCAGAGAAGTTTAGGTTTAGTGCTGAGTTCATTGAGATGAGGCGTCGAGCTCTGGATATATTCATTAACCGCATAGCTTCACATTGTGAGCTTAGACAGAGTGAAGATTTAAGAATTTTTTTGCAGGCAGAAGAGCAGGTACTTAAATATGATGATGAAAATTCCGTATTTAAATATCTCAAGTGTAGTTTCTGAACAAAGTAAAGAAAGTAATATTTAAATTAAGTGTCATGTCATCAAAGTGTATCACTACTTTTTTTTTTCATTTTAGCTAATGAGAAGGAATAGGTGTTCACCAAATGGACACATTATAAACACAAAGTGTATTGCTCTGTTTTTTCATCATTGTTATTCAGTTCCAATGACATTTACGATGATCATTATGGATTTTTTATGTTGTATGTCTTCTTTTGTAGACAATGGAGAGAGCCAGGTCCCAAGACACTGGTATTTTTAAGAAGAAACCAGCTGATCTGATTCAAATTTTTAAGGTAATTATAATTTTCTAAATGTATAGTTCAATATTTTGTGTCAAAATATTTTCAATGAGAAACTGCATAGTGAGGCACTGTAAATGTTGTAACACTTGACCGCACTATGAAGATGTTTTCTTTTTCATTCTATTTTCACCAAAAATGTCTTTGATAGTAAAAATTCATTCCAAGTTCCAACTCAGCTTTCATGCGATCTTTATCTTTACTTAATGAGAAACTGCACAGTGAGACTGTAAATGTGGTAACACTTGACCGGACTATGAAGGTGTTTTCTTTTTAATTCAGCTCTTACCAGAACCTGTCTTTGCTAGTAAATTCATTTCAACGTAGCTTTTGTTTTATCTTTACCATTCCATCTCTCACTGTGTTGAAGCAATATGTCTTTGCTTCTTTGCATTAAATGGTAACTATATTCTGTGAATAAAATGAATTTTTTTATTTACCTATGGACTATGGAGTTTAATATTGACTCCTAACTATTACCCCTCGTGAAATGTGTGGTTGGCATTTGTGCTGGTTGCCGTGTTTTCTTATTGATTTTTTACTGCATTAGCTAAGCTTATGGTACAAGCTTATGTCAAAACAATTAAATTAAAAAGCTAAAGCTTTTTTCAATTGTTTATTTCAAGGGGGTGATCAGAATATACAAATTTGCTTACAGCAAAGGTTATATTCAAATTCCAATAAGATAAATCTGAAGAAAGCAAGCTCTTAAGAACTCTGCTATTGATTTTTTGGCAGGATGTACAATCAAAAGTGAGTGATGTTGTGCTTGGAAAGGAAAAGCCAGTTGAAGAATCCAATCCTGAATATGAGAAACTGAAGCATTACATATTTGAGCTGGAAGATCATCTAGCTGAAGCTCAGAAGCATGCATATGGTCTTGTAAAGAGACACAGAGGTGCCAAAAACCTGTTTTTAAGACACTATTGTATGTGAATGGCCACAAAAGGAGATTCCTAATTTGCGATTCCTAATGTCGTTTTCGTATGATGTCTAAATTCTCGATACATCATTGAATCTGTGCAAAATTAGACGCACTAGAATTTACCCTGATTTTCATCAGTGTATTTAGTTTTTTTGTATTTAGCTCATTATGGTGATGAATTGCTTGCTATCTCTTACGTTGAAAATATCCAGAATTAGGAGAGTCTTTGTCAAACTTTGGGAAAGCAGTCAAGCTTTTGGGGACATCTGAAGACAATGCACTGGGGACAGCATTTTCTGAACTTGGGGCAAAATCTGAGCTGATATCAATTAAGCTTCAGAAAGAGGTAGTGCCTGAATCAGAAATCTACTCATAGGGGGTGTTTGGATTTGATTCTTAAAACTGCTTCTGCTCCTTCAGGGAGCAGAAGCAGAAGTTGGAGTGTTTGGGTAAATCTGCAGAAGTGATTCTGGTGCTCTAATTTACTCCTAGAATCAGTTTTTTTAGAAGTTGGGGGGTGACCAGCTTCTGAAAACTGATTCTGATTCTGATTCTGCTTTAAAAAAGAAGCAGAATAAGAATTAGTTCCAAACACCCCCATAATGTTAGATCTCTTTAAATTCTGAAATTCATTGCCTAATTTATTGCTCTCATCTAGGCACATCACCTTCTAATGAATTTTGAAGAGCCACTGAAGGATTATGTCCGAGCTGTACAATCAATTAAGGTAAGTTAGCAACTGTGTTGATCACACTCCCTCCGTCTTAAAAAAGACTAAGAGTAAAAAAATTGCCCTAAAAAAGAATCCTGTCTCAAAAGCTGGAATTTGACGTGGCTGTTGTATATGGTTGAAAACGTACCAAAACTTTGGTAAAACCCCATTCCCCAATGGCGGCTCTGTGTCATCTAATTCCAATGTGGTGTATTTTGGTGAAACTTGAAAATAATAGATCGCAGCCTTCTGACTTGGTCATGGGATGTAATGTTTTGTTTATAATAATGATAATGTTACAGGCCACAATGGGAGAGAGAGCAAATGCTTTCAAGCAGCAGTGTGAACTGGCTGAAGCTATTAAATTTAAGGAGATAGATCTGTATGTCTTCGTAAAACTTTTTTTTTTGACTTCGTAAAACTTGACAACTTTATTTTCTTGTAGTTGGGTTTATTATGGCTTTCAAAGTTGAGGCTATTTTTGTGTGTATTAAAATTTTTCCTGCATCCCAGAAACAAACTAAGGCTAACACGATCGGAGAAACTGGTCGAGGTTGAGCGTGAATATGAAGTGGTGAGTTGGCTTTTGTGGTTGTGTTGACGGAACAAGAAGTTTTCTTTTGTTTCATTTCCTGAACAGACATTGCTTGATACAGGTGAAAGCTGAGGGGGAGGAAGCGACCCAAAGATTCAGAAAAATAGTGGAGGTGATGAATGGAGAGATTGTCCAATTTCAAGAGCAGAAAACAGTGGATATGGGGATTGCTTTTCATGAATTTGCGAAGGGACAAGCTAACCTCGCTAAAAGCATTGCAGAAGCCTGGCGAGGTTTCCTTCCTAAGCTTGAAGCATGCTCTTCCTAATCACACCGATATTTGGTAACCCTTCCATGTGTTGTATCTTCCACTAGCTCTTGATCTGCTTGTACAGATCTCTTAACAAGCAAACAAACAAATACATACATATAATTGCTCAAGCCCGTTATAGATTCTCACTTGCTTCTAGATATCATTATCCCACTATTTCTGCGAGTAATAGCATTTTCATCATGAAATCCTTCCCGTTGAATATAGTGCTATACTTCTAGTTCAAATCATTTTCAACTGTTTTATCAAGGAAAGTGACTTATTAAATGTTCTTTGTCCTTGGGAATTTTTCGTTTGGGATTTGTGTTGTCTTTAGGGACTGCTGGGTTTTATATATGTGATATTGTGACCTACTACTGAGTCACAGTTGACTTATCTTCCCGATCTTGGACTGAAAATTTAAACCTTAAGAATATTGTTGAACTAACCAACACCCTTACAAGGAGGGGACCCAAAATTCATGTCCATATATATTGCGACCATCGTCATTCCTTTTAGCTTTACACGAATTCTTCAGTCTGAACATTCTATATACCCTTGAATCCTTGGTACAGCCTAGCCTTTCCCTGATTCCATACTTGCATATCTCATATGTAACCAAACTTCTTTGATACCTTACATTCAATGGATATGTGTCAACTGTCTCATTGTTGCTGCAACATAGGAGGTATTTGAAAACTACATATAAATTATCATGCTTCTTTTACACATCATCATCAACATAGATCCATCTATTCCAGTGTCTAATTGAATAAAGTTAGGAGGGATCCAAGAGATTCAGAATCCCAACTAAAACACTAAGAGCCCGTTTGGTAACATTGAAATCGGCTGATTCTGCTGAAATTTATGAAGTTCCGGCTGAAGTGACTGTATTGGCTAATTTTGCTGATTCATGAAAAAATTAAATTTAAAATATATTTTATTAATAAAATAAAGAAAAAATTATATGTAAAAATAGCTAAAATGGTCCTCTACAGTAACTTCAGCCGATACATCCAGAAAAGTAACTCCAACCTTACTTTTTCTGCTTATTACAAAATTCAGCGTGCGAAACGGGCTCTAAATTTCATCAAAAAATGTCTATCATGAAATAAAAAACAATACACTATTGCTTTATGTAAAGCATAAAACAATAATAATTGTTACATAAAGCAATAGCTTATCTTTTTATCTTTATTCCTTCTTTTCCTTTTGGTTGTGATATCATGTATCGATTCATGTTAGCCGACCCCAATATCTTTTGGGACTAAGGCTTGGATGTTGTTGTTGTTGTACACTATTGCTTTATGTAACAATTATTATTAACTAAAGGTATGTATGTAATCATCATTAAAAAAGTTACGAAGTATTTAATTTGAATTTATGGTAGTGACTAGTGTTGGATTCGGTTCGGGCCACCCGGCCCGTGACCCGGCTCGGCCCGCTACTGTGCGGGCCCGGGACCGGCCCGGTCGGGCGGTCCGGGACCGGGTGTAGACCCGAACCGGCGGGGAGGGGCGGGGCGGGTACGGTTCCTGAAAAAGTTCACCCGGCCTGGCCGGGTCGGGCCCGGGTCCGGGTCCAACGGTCCAATTTAAAAAAAAAATTGTTGGGCCCCAAACTAGCCGTTATGGCCTTGGGGGGGTGGGGGTGGGCTGGGGACAACCCAAACGGTTATATAGCCGTTGGGTGGGGTGCAGGGGGTGTCCGGGGGGTTGAGGGGGGGGTGGGGGGTAAAAAACCTATAAATACTCCTAATCTTAAACATTTTTTCATATCTCTTCTCCAATTCTTCCTAAATCCTATTCTTAACTATCTACTCTCTAATTCTCTTATTCTCCAATATATTATATTTATTATTTATATATCTACTTTATACTTAAGAAGTTAAGATGGAAAATCAAGATGCTATTATACGGTATAATTTTGATAAGCAGAAGGACCCGAAGACCGGGATGTGGTACGCAACTTGCAAATGGTGCGGGAAAAAATGTAGCATGGGGGTTTCAGGCGGATACGGGATGACAATGAAGCATATGAAGTCATGTGACAAAGCCAAAGGATCGAGAGGTGCGGGAAGTTCCGATTGATTACAATTTTCAAAATGTTTGTCTCTTAAAGTTTGTTTTAATTTTCAAATGTAGTTCCTATTTCATTTCAAATAAATGCACTTGAAGTTTGTTTTTAATACTTGTATAAAACTATAAACTATAAAATATAAATTATAAAAAAAAACTTTAACCGGCCCGACCCGACCCGACGGGTGGCCTAACCCGTGACCCGGGCGGGTGGCCCGGCCCGAACCGGACCCGTCCAACCCTCGGGCCGGTCCCGGGCCCATGTCATACAAACCGGCGGCCCGACCGGGCCTATTCCCGGCCCGGGCCCGACACGGCCCGAGTCCATGCCTAGTAGTGACACAGGGATTGGAAATTTGAATTTCTGTATTTGTTGTACCTTTTCAAAGTTCAAGAAACTTTGAATCAAGAGCTCTAGTGAGTATCCATGACTCTTTGAGCATTTATTGAGGAAGATAGCTACATAGTACGGAGTTTTGCTTAATTTTGAAATCAAAAGGGAAAATTCCCGAGATAGAGTAAACATGTTCCAATAATATTTATCGGTAAAACCCTCTCGTTCATTTAGGCCTTGTTTGGTTCAAAGGAGGGGAAGGAAGGGAATGGAAGGAACGATTTTGATAAAAATTTGTGTTTGGTTGGAGGAAATAGGAGGAAAGGTTTAATGAAAATATTTTCGCAATTTACTTTTATTTGATAGCTTACTTCAAAAAATAGATACATGTCTAACTATTGTGAATATTACTCCTATGGTCATGAGTCATAACTTTAATTTATTTGATTTTTTAATTTTTTAATTTTATAATTTTTCATTTTTCAATTTGGAATTTATGATTTTTTATTTGTATTTTTTATTTTTTTTTATTTTTAATTTTTAAAATTTTTAATCTATAATTTTGAAATTTTTTAATTTTGAAATTTTTTAATTTTTAATTTTTTAATATTTAAATTTTTAAATTTTAAATTTTTTTAATTTTTCAAACTTTTTGTTTTTTTTACCTTTTTATATTATAACATTTTGTTCATTCACGTAGGAGATGGATATTTTGTTGTTATCAACACGTTTCCTCCGAAATACCCCGATTTGGGGGGTTTAGAATGGGAGGAAGTGGAGGATTTTGAAAGTCTTCCACTTTCCTCCCCTTCCCCCTATTTCCTTCAACCAAACACACAAGAATCCCCCACTTTCCTCTCCTCCCCTTAGTGGTGGACTCGGTTCGGGCCTAGAACCGGCCGGGCCTCGGTTCAAGGAAGGCAGGTCCGGAACCGGCCCGGATAACCCTGGGTCCGGTTCGGTTCGGGTCACCCGCCCGGTTCATGGGCCGGGCCGCCCGGCGGGCCGGGCCGGGCCTATTTATTTTTATTTTTTTTAAATATTATATAATTAGAATAATTCTTATTACAATTACAATATATTATATTCGAATTGAAGTATATTTATTTCAAATAAGAAGTACAATTGAGAATTAGGATGAATTTAAAAAATGTAATGCATTTTGTAATAAAAAATCAATCGGACTCTCCGCCTTCGGTTGTTTCCTCCATAAAGTGGCGGGTGGGAGTGATGGTAATTTCTTGAGTTCTTCGTTGGGCCTTCAACCAATCGTGAAAGCAAACTAGTGTCTCAAGAGAGCTCGGGCTCAACCTCGTTCTATAATCGGTTAGGACGTTGCCGGCCGCACTGAATTCTTGTTCCACGGCAACGGTTGATATCGGCATTGCTAGTACTTGCTTAGCCATCTTTGATAAAATCGGGAATGTTCTTTCATTTTCCTTCCACCACTTAAGAACGTCAAAGTCATCACCAACTTCATAATCAATATTCAATGTTAGATACAAAGAAAGCTCGTTACCTGAGCTTTGTTTAGTAGCGGGAGTTGCTCTACTTTTTTTCAAAAGAGAACCAAAAGCGGATTTTAAAAGTGATTTTCCTTTAGATGAAGAAGATGTTCGTTGCATGGGAGGGGGTGCATTACCATATTGTGCATGAAATTCATTATACAATTGATGAAATAAATTACTAACCTCGTTGAATTCTTGTTTAGGGTCGACGGGATTATCATCGAACTCTTGAGTTGGAAAAAAGAAGCATAATAGTAATCTATACAATTTGTCAAGTAAGGAAGTTTATAACGAGGATCAAGAACAAATGCAATACCATATATATGCGGAATATGTGAATAATATTTTAAAAACTTTTGTTTCATGAAATCACAAAAATAACTAACGTAAGTGGCGTCGGAAAATTCACAAAAAGCGCCGGCGAGATTAACAGCTTCAACAAAAAATTCGTTTGCGGTAGGTTTATAAACATGACTAAAAGTTAGAGTTGCGTTATTAAAATATGCCAAAACATTAACAATTTTTTCACAAGTGTCGATGTCAGCCGGGTTTATAATATAGTTACAAGTTTGTCTTTAAAAAGCTGGAAAATGATCTTTATATCTAACAAGTACTTGAATTAAATTATAAGTACTATTCCAACGAATAGACAAATCTTTAGGAAAAGCACAATAATTCACACGTCTATCCTTCAAATATTGCCGCCATTGCATTTTTAGTAGAGTGTTAGCCCAGATCAATTTAATTCCCCCCTTCACTACCTCCAAAGCATTTCCTAATGCCGCTAAGCCATCTTGTACACACAAATTTAGAATATGACATGCACAACGTTGATGAAAAAATCTACCCATCAATGTAGAAGCACCACACAATTCACGTAATCTAGGTATAGCAGCAGTATTATTACTAGCATTATCAAAACCTACAGCAAACACCTTATCAATCAAATTATACTCAATTAAAATACGTTCAATGAGAATATAAATATTATCAGCAGTGTGACGATCATTGAATTCACGAAAAGCAAGAACACGTTTATGCATATTCCAATCATCATCAATATAATGTGCAGTTAGACCCAAATAATATAAATGATGATAAGTATCCTCCCATATATCGCTACAAATACTAACACGTCCATCAAAGTTTGCGAAAAATATTTGTAATTTTTCTTTTTCCAAGTTATATTGCCTTATAACTTCTTTTTTAATCGTTTTGCGACTATAATTTCTAAATTGAGGATTTAAAGTACCTTGAGCATAATCTCTTAAAGCAAGACTTTCGGAAAAAATAAAGGGTAAATTTTCTTCAACAATTAAATGAGACATACCAGTCAAATGTTTTTTATCATCATAGGAAAAATTACCAAAGGGTTGAGAATTTGCAAACCTTGATATTTGTGTTTGCTTCCCCTTTCCTTTGTCTATTTTCGCATACTCCACAATGTGGGCGGACTGAAGATGCCTTTTGAGACTCCCGTATCCGCCAGAAGTTCCCAAGCTAAACTCTTTCTTGCAATGATTGCAACTTGCGTACCATTTTTCGGTTTGTTCGTCTTTCTTTTTTGTATAATTGTTTTCAATAATAGGAGATTTAGATTTCTTACCAATTTGGGTTGTAGTCGTTGAAGGGCCCTCGTCCTCTTGCTCATCATCCGGAGTCCCGTCGCCCCCCGCGTCCTCCTCCCCATCGTCATCCTCGAGCTCCTCTTCATCGATGATTGTCGGGAATTGTTGTTCTTGTGCAAAACGTGGATCATTTTGGGACAATAGGTGTTGTAGTTCCTCGTCGGACATCATCATACCATCTCGCCGTTGGTAATCCGTTTCAAAATCATCTCGACTTTGAAAAGAAGACTCGGCCCGCGCTTTACCTTTGCCTTTGCGTGAAGTAGATCGAGTCGATGCAATCTCCCTCTTGCGGTTGCGTTGGAGATTACCCACATCTACAGAATGTCTACCACGCTCCATCTTTAAAATTGAACAAATATTAGCAATTAACTGATATGAGAAATGTAAAAATTAACTAGTTTTGTTATTTTAATGAGATATGTAGCAATTAACTAATATGAGAAATGTAAAAATGTAGCAATTAACTAATTAACTAATATGAGAAATGTACAAATGTAGCAATTAACTAATATGAGAAATGTAAAAATGTAGCAATTAACTAATATGAGAAATGTAAAAATGTAGCAATTAACTAATATGAGAAATGTAAAAATGTAGCAATTAAGTAATTAACTAATATGAGAAATGTAAAAATTAACTAGTTTTTTTACTTTAATGAGATATGTAGCAATTAACTAATATGAGAAATGTAAAAATGTAGCAATTAACTAATTAACTAATATGAGAAATGTAAAAATGTAGCAATTAACTAATTAACTAATATGAGAAATGTACAAATGTAGCAATTAACTAATATGAGAAATGTAAAAATGTAGCAATTAACTAATTAACTAATATGAGAAATGTAAAAATATAGCAATTAACTAATATGAGAAATGTAAAAATGTAGCAATTAACTAATTAACTAATATGAGAAATGTAACAATTAAGTAGGTTAACTAATATTAATATGACAAATGAAACAATTAACTTTAACTACTTTAACTAATATTAATATGACAAATGAAACAATTAACTACTTTAACTAATATTAATATGACAAATGAAACAATTAAGTAATTAAATAGATAAACGAGAAGTGTATATATAAATTAAGTAATTTATATATATATAGTATATATAAATATATAATGTTTAAATATATTATAAGTAATATATAATATAATGTATAACTATATATAGTATATATAAATATATAATGTGTAAATATATTATAAGTAATATATAATATAATGTATAACTATATATAGTATATATAATATAATGCGTAAAGAATTATAATATGCATGTGTATAAGTATATATTTATAAGTAGATAATTAATATTATAATATATAAGTAGATATAATAATTATATAAATTATATATATGTAGAAAGAATTTGGAGAAGATGAAGAATGAAGATGATTGAATATGAGAGATTGAGAGAATAGAGAATTTAGAGAGTAGGAAGAGTTGTAGAAGAAGAGGTGTAAAAAATGTATAGAAAATAGGAGTATAAATAGGTTTTTTTTTGTATACCACACCCCCACCCCCCCTAACCCCCCAGACCCCCCCTCCTATGCTCCCAACGGCTATAGAGCCGTTTGGGAGGTCTCCCAACGGCTAGTAGAGCCTTGAATTATTTAATTTTTTTTTTAAAATGGTGACCGTTGAGGCCCGGCCGGGCCGGTTCACCAAAACATCAGCCCGGGCCCGAACCGCTACATGACCGGCCGGGTGGCCCGAACCGTGACCTAACCGACAAACCGGTCCGGTCCGGGCCCGCACAGTAGCGGGCCGGTCCGGTTCCGGGCCGGTTGGCCCGGCCCGAGTCCACTCCTACCTCCCTCCAAAACCCTCCAACCAAACAGGGCCTTAGGGTGTATTTGGGAGTTGGGTTTTGGAGGGGAGGGGAAGGTTAATGGGGTTTATGACCCTCCTTTTCATGTTTGGGAGTTTAAAAAATTGGAGGGGTGTCTTTGGAGGGCTTTTGTAACCCTTCAAAACCCTCCAAATGCTTAATTTTTAAGTTCCCCCAATTTGGAGGGTTTTGGAGGATAATTAACAAAATGGTAATTTAAGCTAAATTAGAAACAAATATCAGCTCAATGATTTGAATTCGTCATATCTCAAAGTGATTTTAATTATAATTCCTTCAAAAACTCTCTTCTTTCAATTTTATTACTTCCAAATACAAAGAAGACTTCCTCACCATCCCCTTCCTTTCCTCTCCAACAACGTACCTCCAAAGCGTTCTCCCCCCTTCCCTCCAAACTCCCAAACATACCCTAAGGCGTCTTATAGACAACCGATAAATATTATACCAAAAGCATATTTTCTCACCTAACAATCCAAGCTATATGCTCCTTTATCTACTTCTGTTGTTTCGTTAAAAAGGGTTTCTTCCTCAAAGGCTCAAATCAAAGGTCACTATCTTCTATGAGTTCTATCCCATTTTTAGATTTTGTAGAAGAATTAAATCACAAGGCATTACTCATTAAGTTTTCCATAGTTCTTGCATGCAAACTTCTTTCAATAATAAATCAAGTTAGGTTGGATTCCAAGCATTGCAACAGGAAACGAAATAGTTTAGACAACATTACATTATGAAAAAACCAAAACGAGGGCCGAAGTGATTACGTACCTCTAACAAAATTTGGATTTGATGCTCGGAAGGAGTGGGAAACCACCAAGCCAAACCAGCTAGTGTTATGCTGTTTTATGATCTTTGTCAATATATGGGAAAAGGGGCAAATTAGCCATAGGAATAAAAGTACAAATAAGACAGTAACCTTCTTTTAGGTGCAAATAACATTAGATTAAATACATAATTGGCATTATAGCCACTCACTAACATAAGAAACACACGGAGCTAACTAAGTTGACAGTCATAGCTATATTAAACATTATTTTCAAAGGAAAGAATTTTATATTTTAAATTTATAATCTAATTAGAGTATAATATTATTCATATTCTTTACTACCAGATAGCTCATACCAGTTAGCACTTTATATGATAATGAATTGGAGCAACAATGATTTTTGCTAAATTTTATCAGCTTAAATAGGTGTGGGCATTGGGGTATAAGAACCGCATGTCTGGTCGGGCAATACAAGTTCGAAGAGGGTGCCGTGGATTAGGGCTCAGTCCTAATTTTAGAAAACCCAAACGTGGCGGATCTTAAAAAATTTAAGAATCGAAAGGATCTTAAAACATTTAGGAATCGAACGAGTCTTAAAATTTGAAAAATAGGTATCCGGACCTACACGTTTTAAAAACGGAGTATTAATTTAATAAACTCTTTTATACAGAGTGTGTAATATATATACTAGTATAATATACTAACAACACACGAAAGTTCGTAATGTTCCTTGTGTCTAGACAAAGACTCTCAGTTGAACAAACTAACGATTCTATTAACGAGAGAGAATCCGGGAGTCCCCGTGGGAAGGATGGTGCCTCGACGTTGGGTGCGATTCCATGTCCTCCCCCTATTTCCTTTTGTCTAGGGGGTGCTTCTTCGGCTAAGGTTGAGAGGAGAAGACGTCGGCCTCGCTCGAGAAACGGCTTATCCTCGGGGCTCTCACAGTTGGACCTTACGAACCTGTACATCATTGGGACGGAGAGTTCGGTGAGCGAGTATCATGTCGCCCAGATGTATGTTGGCCCCTATGGTAGAGTACGGGCGCCGAAGTCGATGGACCATGTGCTCTCTCCGCCCGTGGGGTATTTCGGAATATACCCTAAGAGTTTTGCTAAGGGGTTACATTTTCCCCTTCACCCCTTTATCACCGAGTATCTTGAGATGGTTGTTCTTCCTCTGGCCCTGTTGACTTTGAACAGTTACTCCCTTATCATCGGCTTTTTAATCCGATGTGATGAGCTGAAGATTAGGTCGACGACGACCTTGTTTATGAACCTCTATCAGATAGGCCGGGGGAGTCACGAGAATTGTGTCGGCTATACCAATCTACACCAGGTGAATAATAGAAGATCGTTCAAGTATCTTCCGTCGTTGATCCACTGCTCGAAAGCCAATTTTGTGTTTGTAACGCTTGGTGATGCTTCATTCTTCCCTTCCATTGGCCATTCGGGGATTTTTAACCTCCATGAGCCTGTCACTACAAAAAAAAATCGCTTGTAGTCACGGACCGTAGTCACGGATTTGGTCCGTGACTAGTTAGTCACGGTTCTAATCACGGTTTAGTCACGGAACGTTTAAAAAAAATTAGTCACGGATTTGGCCGTGACTATGTCCGTGACTATAGGTAGTCACGGACCTAGTCCGTGACTAAAGTGTTCCGGCCAACCCATTTTCGCCTCCGGCGGGATTTTTTTTAAATTTGAAATTAGTGTCGTGACTACAGTTAGTCACGGACGTATCCGTGACTAATTCCGTGACAAGTGCAAAATTGATTTTTTCAACGTTCCAATTTAAAGTGCACCGACAATTCGTACAAAAAAAGTGTAGTCACATCCGTGACTAGTGCCGTGACTACAGTATAGGATGGCTTCTCTTGGCTTCGTGAGGTATTACATCCCGGGGAGATGTGGATGACGAGTTGTATCCCAAGATACATTGCTCTTTTGAGGTAGCCGATGGGCCCTTTGAGGGTGTTACCGCTGCGGCAAAAGGTTGTTCCTCGTTCTGCCTACTACCTTTTCTGTTTTGTTCATTATTTTGACTAACTGTTTGCCGTTTTGCAAAGTTTGAGATGAGCCGAATGATGTTCATGACCTAGGGATCTGAGGGTTCCCAACAGCCTTCGGCCGATGGCGGCAAGGCGAAGTCAGACGCTGCCAAGAAACCTCCGGGGCAAAGAAGAAAAAGAGGCATGTCTCTGAAGAAGACCAGAAGACGTTGACTGAGGCTGATCTGCGGCCATCCAAGTCCGTGAAGAAGCCGAAGAAGGGCAATGACTCGACCAGTGGTGTTGTGGCCGATGTTGTCCAGCATGCGGATGGTGGAGGCCGTGAGGTCGAAGTTGTTATGGTTGAGGACCTCACCGAGGGACCTTCTTCGGCTGCCCTTACTCAGTCCCCTCCCTTTAATACTGAAGTCCCCTCTACCAACATTGGTTGTGGCCGAGAGTTGGTTAGGGTTGTATGACATCGTGGTCCTCTATCTGCCGAGGGGCGGTATCTTGCCACGCCCGGGGGTCGGCACAGCTCGGGGAGGGGAAGTGGTGTGCGACATCGTGTCTTGAGCGATGATGCCTTCGTTGTTGCCGATGAAAGTGATGAGGGGAGGAGGTGGAGTAGTGTTCTCCCCTGTCCTTGGCATGAGAGCGCTTAGGACAGTGGAGTTCTGGGCCAAGCTGGCGATGATGGCCAATAGTGCGGCCTGGAGTTGGGGGTCAATAGGGGGAGTAGTCTGTTGTCCCGAAGCATGGTTGCCTTTCTCCAGATGCTTCTTCTCAAGGCCGATGCGAGCGTCTTCAACCTTACATATATATATATATATATATATATATATATATATATATATATATATATATATATATATATATATATATATATATATATATATATATATATAACAATAATTATAATAACTTATAATTATTAATACCATCATACACACCACATATTATCAGAAAAAAATAACTGTATTATCAATCAGTCATCGTAAATCACTTTAACCACATAAAGAATCTTGAAATGGGGTGGATAGATTTACATTCTCTCATATGCCTTCTCGAGTCGGGGTGGATAGATTTACATTCTCTGATATGCCTTCTCTAACAAAAAAAAGGGTCTAATAGAAGCAACGGTTAATGATTTAGAGCCTGTCTGGGGACTCTATTTTTCAACTTATCAGATTTTCAGCCAACTTTTTAACTTAACACGTACAATTTGATTTCACGCACTGAATTATGTAATAATAAGTAAAAGTAAGGTTGAAGTTACTTTTTTGAATGTATTGGTTGAAGTTACTGTAGAAAATTAATATAATAAAAAATATTTTGAATATAACTTTTTTTTCCATAAATCAATAGAATCATTCAACTTTCAGCCAGAACTTTATAAATTTCAACAGAATAAACTGATTCAATGTTAAAGGTACTCTTAAATTACTACTCGTAGACCGTAGTATATAATCTAATGTATAAGCGATGGACGAAAAAACTACTTCTAGAGTATGTCGTCGTTGCTTAACGTAAGACAATTTGGCCGAGTGGTCTAAGGCGCCAGATTTAGGCTCTGGTCCGAAAGGGCGTGGGTTCAAATCCCACAGCTGTCATATTTTTTAATGGCTCACATTGTGCGTGTTTTGTGAATGATTTTAGGCCCAGTAAATATATTCCTTGTAGTCCAATTTGGAATAGTGACTGCGGATTTAGGCTCTGCTTCTGGCCCAATCTCTGCTTCTTCTCATTTTCCGCACATTCCGATCATTCTGAATGTCAACAGCCCGCCGGAGTTTCTCTACAGTTCTAACTATGTCTCATTCTTTCATAAACAGACCGGTTCATAACGTACTTAACCGAGTGCTTACTATTCCAACTCCAGTTCACCATCGGTCAATTTCGACATTGGCTTTCAATGAAGTCCGGTCATCCCCAGACCGGCAATGCACTTCCACAGCTTTCGTTCTTCACGGCCTCTTAGGCTCCGGTCGCAATTGGCGTTCCTTCTCTCGCTCTCTCCTGTCCTCTCTCCCCCCTGGTACTCTCTTTTCTGTTATAGTGTATTAGTGTACATATATCTTGAGGAGATGAAGTTTCTAAATAAGAAATTGTTCTTTTTTGGATCTTTGACAAGAATGGAGGATGGTTCTGGTAGACCTTAGAAATCACGGTGGGTCGGCAGAGATTGGAGGCTTTGAACCGCCTCACACGATGGAAAATGCTGCGAATGATGTGGCCAATTTGATCCAATCTCAAGGCTGGGATTGGCCTGATGTGGTTATTGGCCACTCAATGGGCGGCAAGGTCTCCATGCAGTTTGCTCAGAGCTGTTCTCGCGGTGATTATGGCCAATCAGCTCAATTGCCAAAGCAGGTTTATGCCTTTTTCAGATCTCCTGATATAAAGATACATATTTAGGGAATATGGGCAGGTATTATATGACTTGGAGAGAATACCATCAAAAACATGATATGGCGATCAAGACAAAACTGCTTGCATTTCTTTTGAAATACTCTTGGTAAGTGGACTAAGATTACCTGATTGATGGCATGCTTTGACTGCTTGATGTCTTCTTTTCCTCAATCCATTTCGAGTAAACCTTCCAAAGATTTGGGTCCAAGATAATGACCTTTTAGGGTGCTGGGCGTTTCCTTTTTTCATGGAATTCATCCATGCTTGTATTCTTTTCACCTAATGAGCAGGCATTGCCTCAAGTTTTGCACAATTGTGGGGTACAACTGTACAAGTGAGTTAATCAGGTTGTTGAAGGATCAAAAATCAATCTGGCATGGTGTTTCGGAGCCGACAACTGGTCCAAATCAGAAGTGCACAATTTGTCCACTTCACAGTCCAAATCAATGAAAATTCGTTGGATTTAGTGGATGGCTTTAAAAGCTAACAAGTATTGAAAAAGGGAAAATGGCTTATATATGTGTTTTTCCAGTACTATGAACTCTTACTCTTAGTTATACTTTGCACTTTCCTCCTACACTCGAAATTAGCTAATTGTTGGTGATTTCACTGTTACTAACTGCTTTTTCTATGCGGCATTTCATGGTTTCTTCATAGAATTTGGGCATTCATGCTACACGGATATCAAAACTTACAACCTTACTTTCTTGATGTTAGCCAGGTATGGATTTTGGACTCAGTTCCTGGAAAAGTGGGCCGTGACAACAGTGATGGAGAAGTTGAGAAAGTTCTGCACACCTTGAAGGGATTACCTTCATCTATACCCTCACGGAAGTAAGGTCTATCTAGTATTTAATAGGAATTTAGAATGGTTGGAGATTTCAGAGTTCAATATCTTGGTTTTCGTTAATTTTTTCTATTCAACTTTGAGGATCATCCTTTATTTTAATATATAATAGACTACATTTCTTCAGTGAAAATAGATGTCTTGTGACTTAAAAATATTAACTATACATACGCAAAATATCATGTATTATCTGCACATTCATACTTTTCCTTTGAATTAACTGCATGAATCAAGTTCGTCTCTCCATTACTCTTCCTCAGTGGCAAATATTTCTCAAAGTAATTCCTTTTTAATGTCATTTGTATTAAATGAAAATATGTCTTGTTCCCAGGTGGTTGGTAGATTCCTTGCTGAAACTTGGGTTTTCAAAGGCGTTATCAGAATGGCTGGGCAGTAATCTCAAGAAATCGGGAGATGAATTAACTTGGACATTCGATTTAGATGCAGCTTTCCAAATGTTTAATTCTTACTGGTAATACGATATCTCCATATTTACATATACCAGTGTTATATGCTTGTGAAGCATGTAATGTTTTTTGGCCATATTTTGTTTGTAAAAATAAGTCATATTTTGTCTAAGTTTTAGTCTTATTTAGAGTAATTTCTACATAAATAAATGAGTAAGCAATAAGGGAGTGTTTGCATACACTTTAAAAAGCTCTTTTCCGCTATTGGCTTAAAAAACTTAAATTAGTTTTTGAAGTGACAGTTTCTACTTAAATCAAGCACATAAAAGCTAAAAGGCGGAAGCAAGTGGATTGGTGTTTTAAACTGCTTTTCACTTTTTCTATTACACAAAAGCACTTTTTCACCGAACACTACTAGTTTTTACTTTTTCAAAAACACTTTTTCAAACACTATCAACTTCCACTATTAAGCTCTTTCTTTAAAATCACTTCAAAAATCACTTTTTTAAAGATTTGTTAGTTTATTCACGTATAATTCACCTATAATACACTCAAACGTATAATTCACGTATAATACTCCCGTTTATGAATTATTCAAAAAAATCTTAAAAATTCATGTACTTTAAGGATAAAATGTATAATACACGTAATGTACATATTGATACGTATTTTATTAAAAAACATCATTAAACTGAAGCCTAATGGAGTGGTACATCGGAAGCGAAATGTCTAGCGGCTCAATGCTATTTATATTGCTTATTAGTTTTTATGCCTTATACGTTTGTTAATTGTTAAATAGTCATTAGATATAATAAATTAGATCCTTAAAGCCATAATCCATTTTGATATATACTATCTATATTACTTTTATATGACTCTTGTGCTCCACCCATACCAAGACTCCAAAGAGAAATGATATTGTGGCGGCTCACCAAACTCAAGGTCACACTAATATCAACTATTCTCTAGTAATATCTCTCTACTTGTACTCAAATAGGCAATGTCATTTTCAGTACTTATTGTGCAAATGAATTCAAATTCGTATATTTGTGAAAACTATTTCGTGCGTTTTAAATTAATGATTGGGGGTAAAATTATTTATTTCGCAATGGAAGTTTAGAATGTTAATTGTGCCTTCATGAATTCTATAATATTTTAAATTATCCCATTAACACCATAAATTTACAGTTTTGGAAGAAATAATAGTGAATTTGGTGCTAAAATAAATTTTTATATAAAAGTTTGGTGTATTTAAATTACATATGCAAGTTTAGGGTGTTCATCCCACACCCCTTCAAAGTTTGAGGTATTTTAATTTTTTTTTCCCTAAATATAAAGCTTTAGGGATGTTTGTCTGGATGATTTTAAGTTTTATCGCATATATAGGATCAAAGCGTTAACTGCTACACTAAAAGCAGTCGTTGATAGTGAAACTCGCTTTTCTCCCTTATAAAGGCTAACTAGCACCACGGTAGATTTAGGAAGATGTTGTCTGAAGCCTAGCAATCCTCAAATATGTGCCACACTGCCACCACACACGGATGCACAATATGGCTGGCCAAATACACCTGATGGGATTCGAAGTCGTGATCTAGCTCTGTACCAGTTATAGGATTGAAGTGCTAACCACTACGCTAAAAGTGATTGCTAACCCGTGATCGAAGCAATCACTGATAGCGTCACACGTCTTTCTCCTTTATAAAGGCTAACTAGCACCACAGTAGATTTAGAAAGATGTTGGCCGGAGCCTAACAATATGTTCTCTAAATATATGTACAACTATTCTATTAGTAAATTGTAAGCTACTTGTTTCTAATATGTATGCAGGCAACATTTTTAGTTGTTTAACCGGACAAACCATTTTTTAATTTAATATTAAAAAAATTGACAGCCAAAAAATATTAAATAAATTGTTTAAAAATATAATGATTTTGTGAAATATATTGTCCATAATTGTATTAACTATTCATAAAGATGATCTATTATAATTTATCATAATTACTATATCCCTCCCCAGTTCCACTCTTTTTTAATTGAAACGAAAAGAAACAGAGAAAAGACACACCTAAAATTATGTATGTTATCAGGGAGACTGATTATTGGCCTTTATTGGAGCATCCACCCAAAGGTACAGAGATATCTATCGTTCGTGCAGACAAAAGTGATCGGTGGGAGGAAGAGGTCATCAAACGGCTGGAAAGCCTTGCCAGCAGAAATACCAATGAAGGTGAAGGCAGGTTCTCATATCATGTTCTTCCTGATTCTGGGCATTGGGTTCATGTTGATAATCCCCAGGGACTCCTTCATATTGTGGCTCCGAAACTGTCCACTCTGGTTTAGCCATACACCCTCAGATCTATATCCTGATTTGCTATTTTTGTGATTCATTCCTGGAAAACTGGAAGGAATTATTTTATTCTTTTAGGCTATGTTTGGAACCTGGACAATACTAGGGAAATAAAATGAAATGCTGAGGAAAGTTATTTTCTTATGTTTGATTTTATTTTAAAAAATGAATATCATATTGCTCCTAAAGAAGTTTACATCAGGGTTGAGGGGTGGCTTGCATTGAAGTTATTCCTTCACAAAGGATTTATTTTTAAAGGTTTTTCCTAAAGTATTTCATGGAGAATGTAATTTGCTACATTTGAGATTTTGGTGTTATTTGATTGTGGGTGACTGTGTGCTACTTAATTTGTAAACTTGTTCTAGAACTTTTGGTTTTCTGTAGCTCAAACAATGTTTTGATTTTTTGTTTTGAATGTTTTCCTACATTATGGTGCTACTGATTTTTTAGTACGAGAATGTGACTATTTAGTAATGTTGAAGTTAAGTCCTTGCGGTCTAAAGACCGTACACAATTTCTTGGGCTTTCGTCGGATCTTGTATATTTGATTGTATTTAGTGAGTGATTAATTAGTAATAGAAGGCAAAAGGCAATAGAACAAATGAGGTAAAGTATACCCTGAGCCCCTATCGGTAGTTCCAAGCTATGTTGTAAAAACCGGACGGGAGAGTGACCCGGAGGGATGATTGGGTCACGGGTCAACCCAGATCTGGCGGGTAAGCCCGGTCAACGACCGGAAAACCCGGTCGACACACACACACACACACACACATATATATATATATAATATTAAATTCATAAATACAAATATCTTATTCCTTCGTAATTTAATAATGACAAAACAATGTAATACAATTAAAAAACCATTATTTTGTAGGATGAATCTTAAAAATATAATAAAAATATATTTTCACTAAAAATGGAAATTATATACACATGGGAAGTGTAATATCAATGTTAGTGTGAATGCATTATTATTGTTAGTATGAATTGTTTAATTAACTAATTATTTAACATTTATTAAAACTAATGTAACTTGAAATGGTTCGTTTTACAAAAAGAGACCTTTTTGAGTTTCCACTAATGTTATGCGACTAAAAATACCTAGTTTTCAAAATTACCCTTAAGTGTTCAACGGTGCATCCAGATTACGTTAAGTCGTGACTTTGCACTGTGTACCACCCATGCAGTGCGTACCACCAAACGTCCACTTACGTAACATTAGGAGTGGACTCGGGCCGGGCTGCCCGGCCCGGAACCGGACTGGCCCGCTACAGTGCGGGCCCGGACTGGCCCGGTGAACCGGTTGGTTGCCCGGTTCGGACCACCCAGCCCGGTGGGACGGCGGTTCGGGCTCGGGCCCTTCAAAAGGTGAACCGGCCCTGCCGGTTCGGGCCCAGGCCGGTTCCGGGCCTCCCCTTCATGAACCGAGGCCCGGCCGGGCCCAGGCCCGAACCGGAACCGGTCCACCCCTACGTAACATTGCACTCTCTAACAAGTAACAACTACTCCCTCCGTATCAAATTAACTGACCCGCTTTCCTTTTCGGGACGTATCAAATTAAAAGTTCCATTTCTATTTTTAGACATGGACCCCACCACCTTTTAACTTCTCATCATTACATTTTTACATTTTACATTTTTCTCCACTTATCACATTATTCCTCCCCATTAAATCCCCATCCCACCCAACCATAAATCCCTATCCGCCCCACCTTCCCCATTAAATCGGCCATTATCACCCCCCCATTTCTTGAAGTATCCGTCTCTCCCTCTCTCTTGTTCAAACCTTCTCTCTGTTTCTCCGGTTTCTCTGGTTTCTCTCTATCTCTCCGTCGGTCCGGTTTCTACAGTGTTTTCTTTTTTTGGGTGTGTGAACTGCCAAAGGGCCAAATGTATGACCTTTACGCTTTTGCTACATTGCTTAATGTATATGGGGTCCGGTTGTTTATACTCCTTTTGTAAAGTATTCCTCAACTTTTAATCATCTACAGTGTTTATTACTTTCTTCTTACTTTATCTACAGTACACCTACAATTTTTCTTAAACTACTACAAAAGCCTAGTGGGTCAATTAATTTGATACGGAGGGAGTATTATTGTTTTTATTTTAATGTTATTTCTCAAGATATATTTAGATATGGAAACATAGGATCTTAAATACTTGGTATTTAAATTATCACCCTTAAATCTATGTGAAAACCATCTCAATTGTTACCGTCTCAGTGATCACCGTTCCAGTTATCATTGCTCCAGTGACAATCGTCCCAGTTACTACAGGCTCCAGTGACAATCGTCTCAGTTACTACCGCTCCAGTGATCATCGTCTCAGTTACTACCGCACTAGTGATCACCGTCCCAGTTACTATCGTTGTAGTGACCATCATCCCAGTTACTATCATTATAGTGACCAACATCCCAGTTACTATCACTTCAGTGACCACTATTCCAACAGTAATTCTCACTTACTGCAGTCCCAGTGACCAACACCACAATGACCATCACCTCAATGACCGTCCCAATGACTACCGCAGTAGTGACCAATTGATAGTGATGACAGTGACCTATCTAACACCTGCATTTATGAGTGATGCCAACGGTGGACAGTTCAATCGGCCAACCCAACACCGCCTGCACCGCTACCTCACTACCTTGACACTACAATGACTAGTAACATAACTGACCATAGTAACACCCCTTAATGACAAACTATCACCCTTCAATTTGTATCACTATAACCCAATCCGTCTGTTGCCTCACCCTACTACCACAAAATGCCACTACCCAAGCTTGACACAATGACACCATCAACTGCTGATGAACCAATGGCCAAACCTACAGTTAGATCCTTCCTAACACCTATCGGTTATCACTGCCCGAAGAACGACAAAACACACCACCAAGAATTTAAATCAGCTTAACAGTGAGCCTAACTCCTAACCTTTAAACTAGGATAAAGAAATCAACCCAAAGCGAGACTCAATTACACAAGAGAGAACAAGAAAAAAATAGTATAAGAAGCGGATGCGGGCGGGAGGAAGGAAGAAGACAAAATTGGATTCATCAGAGAAGCAATCAGCGCTTTCAATACTCGACAATGAGGAGAAATGTTGATGACTCAGAAAACCCTAGTCATTGGAACGGATTGCGCCACCGGAATCGAAGTTCGGTTGAAGTCCACTTCGATAAGCTCTGTCTTCATTGTCGCAGGAGCAAAAGCGCCATCTACATCGCCTGAACAGATCTGGATTGCCGTGGACCCTTGGCCGTCATCACCGCCGGAATTGAAATGGGTTTTCTTAGCCGCCAGGTTGGAGTTGATCGAAGAGATGAACACCTGCACACCTGAAAGTCTGTAACGGCCTGGAGAGAACTATAGGGGTAGTTTAGATATATTACACCTACGTATTGTACGAACAAGTGATGCTTGCGAAAGTGGAGAGGAGGTCATATATGTTCGCAGGTGACACTAGTTCGAATCCCATTTCCATGTTACTTTGCCTAAATTACGGTTTTTTTAAAAAATTCCGAGTTTCTTCAGGCGGTTCTAGGTCCGTCCCGGATCTATCTGAGTTAGCGGTTTTTTCCGGTTTTCATCAATTTAGCGGGTTGAAGGTCAACCGGACTGGATTTGGATTTGGAGTTAGGTTGTCGAGTTCCGAGTCAGCCTGCCCGGTCCGGTTACGGTCTTATAACGTAGGTTCTAAGTTGAGAATTGAATGCAAGTTTATCAATCCTTTACAATAAAATAAATGTGGAGATTTATACTATAAGGTAGTAGGTAGGGGGAGTGATGTGGTGAGCCCTTTGAATGATTAGCCCGAGTCATATAATCTTCCATATTTGATGCATTAAATGTGTTTCCTGTCATTTTCCTTACTTCTCGTCAATTCCATGATAGGACATATCGCTTGTTCGAAGTCAATAGTCTAGGAAGCTCACAGGTGTCGTATCCCGCTCAAGGCATGCCGATCGAGATAGATACATAATTTGGACCCGATTCGGATACCGTACCTTGTCCTTGGCCCCGTTAAGCTATCCGGCCCAACAAGCTATCCGTACTGTACCTTGTACTTGGGCTTGCTTGGTGCTCGACCCAATACGGCAATACCCCAACAAGAACATTGTTGGCGGCACTTGTTTTAAATGGGAACACTTAGACCCAATTCATATAATGAGAAATGATATATCAATCTAAATATACTTGTTAATTGAGTTAATGGTTCTTAATAGTATATAGATGACTCCACCTGACTTAGTATGTGCACACCCCTTATCAAACTTGTTGGGTCAGAGCGTCACTCAGTATATACCAGTCTGTGATTAAAATTCAATTTACATCATACTTCATCCGTCCCTCTAATATTGTCCCATTTTATGTTTTCACGAAATCCCACTCAAATTGCTTCACATCAAATTTGATAAAATTTGTGTGGTTCTAAATCATTTTTACTTTATTATTAGTGGGACGAAGGTAGTATCAGTTAACTGTCTGATCAATGTTGAAGGGCTCTCAGAGGTGGTGTATCATCCTTTTTTATATTTAAAAATAATATTTATTTGAGTCTGTTTAGTAAGTTTGGGGTTTGGATTGGACATGATTTACAAGATTTAATAGAACAGAACAATTGGAATGGTTGAATTAATATTAATTTTAATTTAATGATTGTGAATACTCGTACTCCCTCCGTCCCAAAATGATGATCATGTATTTCCTTTTTGGGATGTTCTAAAATGATGCTTCTGTTTCCCTTTTTGAAAAGAAAGTTGTGGTCCATATCATTTCACTTTATCAAACTCAAATCTCAACCACAAATTTTACCTTTTCAACCACTTTATTAAAACTTGTGTCCAAAAGAAATGCGACCATCAAATTGAGACGAAGGGAGTAATAATTTAAGAGTTGTAAATAGAATTAACTCAATTACCCAATATAAAATGGTCTCCTGGTCGTCAAAGTGGGCCTAATACTCTCCTTCAAAATAAACTATAGGCTGGCATCTAATGGCCCATCCACACGGCCTTTTCGTCAGTCTATTTTAATGCATCTTCAAAGACCCGCGTTCATAGTTGCTGCTTGTCACGCCGCTAGGGTTTTATCTGAGATCCGGTAGCGTCTCAGTATACCGTGCAACCGAATCGGGAAGCCATGGTAAGCTCTTTGAAGGAATCTGATAATTCCTTCATTTATTAATCGATAAACGAATTATTTTGAAACGCAAGGAGCATAATATTATGGGTGCATAATAGGCTCCTTTCCGTTTGAAGATAATCCTTTCATCTATTAACGAATGAGTTCTGACAACCATTGAATTTATGTATGCCGTCACTTCTGCTTTTGCTAGGGTTTTCTTAAAATGCTAATCTCGAATCTTTTTTTGTTTTTTGCTAATCTCGAATCTTGATTTAACTACATTTGTTAGAAAGTTAACTTTTTATTTTCCGGACGAGTTTAACTAGTCTGTATGGTTGCCTCAATTTTACATATTGAGTATGCTGAATTTTGTAGTCTAAGAGAAAGACAAGGGAGCCCAAGGAGGATACAGTGACCCTCGGACCAAGCATACGCGATGGGGAATTAGTTTTTGGTGTTGCCCACATTTTTGCTTCGTTCAATGATACATTTATAGTATGTTCGAGATCTCTCTCATGCTGCCAACTATGATTTGTTTCTTATTTAGATGCTGGAGTTTTACCTGATTGACATATGGTATGATTTACTGCGTAAGTACATATTTGTTTACTCAAATCATCTTTTTATATATTTGTTTCAGCATGTAACTGATTTATCTGGGAGAGAAACTTTGGTCCGCATTACTGGTATGTTTGCTACAATTATAGTTGTGATTCTTGTTTTGTTTAAGAAATTGTTGTTGTTATTAAAAGAGCTACACTTGAATTCTACCTACCTATGACCCGAAAAGACTGCACAAGTGTTTGTTTTGTTTGAAAATAAGTTCTTTGAAAAGGTTTACTTTAACAAGTGATATTTGAATCCATAGTATTTAAAAGTTTTCAGTATGTTTAGTTGAATCTTATTTGGAAGTGGTGTTTTCAAATCCCAAAGTTTTATTTGATTAATAATTAATACAATCACTTTATAAGAACATTATTTGTAAGGAATATTGTATCCTAACGTAAAGTTAAGTCAGATCAGAAATAAATGGAACTTACGATATTAAGTTAGAACTCAGTTTTCCAAAAGATAGGAACATTTGGAGTTTTGAGTACTGCTGCAGCATTTTTTTTCCTGAAAGTATTTTAAGAATGTTTAATTTGAAGATCACTCATTTGCCTTTCATGAAGAATTTGCTATGAGATACTCAAAATTCATTTTCTAAATGGTATGTTCTTGGGCCTAACACTTTCTAACAAGGTATTGTTAGTTAATATGTGATCTGCTTCAGAGCTTCACTATCCAATATTACTTTTTATGAGTGATCATATCTGAATTGCTATGGAATTTCTTATAATAGGTGGTATGAAAGTGAAGGCTGACAGAGATGAATCTTCTCCATACGCAGCTATGCTTGCAGCCCAAGATGTGTCTCAGCGATGCAAGGTATTATATATTTATAGTTTGTTAAAATTTTGCAGCATAATATGGTGTATTAGTATTTTATTATAGATTTATAGGTGGTGTATTGTTTGTTTACTAGCTGTGATTTGCTTTATAGATATTGTGGAACATGTTCCTTTATTATGAAGGAATTCAGTCAGTGGATGTGGTTATAATGATCGAGAGATTCCTGAAATGCCCTTATATGCTACTCTTGTGAAGCATATGATTACTACAAATGTTTGTCTTTTGCAAATTGATTAAACACCACTACCCAATAGGCTAATACACTGGAAGTAACGGGTAATTAAACAGGGAGCAAGATATGAGTTATGTCTATATACTACTCCTTGCGTTCCCAAATAATACTACCTCCGTCCCATTATTTACTTCCAAAATAAAGTGGCACGTGGATTAAGAAGGTGGGAATTGTGTGGTGGAGAGTTGTGCAGAGGAGAGAGAAATGCTGTGAACCACAAATTCTTTGCCAAAAAAGGAAAGGGAAGTTCTTTTTGGGACGGACGAAAAGGGAAAGTTAGAAGTATTTTCAGGGACGGAGGGAGTAACTTTTTCATCTGCCCCATATTTTTCATTAAAATGATAAGCACCTCTTATTTGTGGAAAGTGAACGGGATATTCTTTTTGAAGTGCTGAGCATTTTTAAACAGAGGTGATTAACATCAAGCATCTGGCTAATTTGCAGGAACTTGGAATAACTGCTCTTCACATAAAGCTTAGGGCTACTGGAGGTAACAAGACGAAGACTCCAGGTCCAGGTGCCCAATCTGCTCTTAGAGCCCTTGCTCGTTCTGGCATGAAAATTGGTCGCATAGGTATACAACATTTCCCTTTGCATTCCTTCCATAAGTTATTCATTGAGGCATGAAAATTGGGTGCATTCAATATCTGGAATCATATACTAATGTGAACTGTTTCCCCCCTGCAGAGGATGTTACTCCGATTCCAACTGATAGCACTCGTCGGAAAAGTGGTAGAAGGGGAAGGAGGCTGTAGGGCCCCTCTCGTTCTTTGTTTGTGAGAAACTTCAAACTCATGAAGAGTTATTATTTACTAGTACGATGTTTGGAACTTTTGTTTCTCTCGGTGAGAAAAAGGTCAAAGTTGATCGTTTTGAACGTTCGATATCAAACATGACTTATTTGTTTCCTTGTTCGTTGAACTTCTAATCTACATATATCTTTAAATCCTCCCTACTTCATTACTTCAAGCCTTGATTACTTTCAGTGCTGTGTCTTGAAATCTAAGTTGTCATCTAATCTAATAAGCAATAGTTCCGCTCATTTTATAATTTTACTTTCCTTTTTGGTTTCTACAATTACGTTGCCTCTCCTTTTTAGACTTTAGACCCTTTAGTACCTCTAATTTTCTATCATTTTCAATTTATTCATTATGGCTCTAACCGCTCAACAATTCTGTATGCCTTTAGATGAGAATAGTGAAAAGTTTATCACATACTAATATACTTCTCGTGACCCCATGGTCTTGATAACTATTCGCGTGTCAAACACTTGAACTCAATTGTCATTCGTTCTTTTTTATCATCTTTTTCTTGATGAAATGAAATTTGCTTTAATGTTTTATTTTGGTAATAAAAAGCCATGGTTAATTCGTTGTTCACCAAGTAGCTTACAATTAATCAGGTGGATAGTCAAAATTAACTAACCGACTAGACATGGAAACAATCGCCTGCCTTGGGTCTCGTTTGTATAACAGTGGATTGCTCAATCCGTTGTTCTTTTTTAACTACAAACCGGTGCTAAAAGCAGCGGGTTGGCATTGATCCTCTAAAAAACAAACAGCCCCTTAACCTGAGTTGCTACTAATTGATTAGTATCTTGTCATTACCACTAAAAAGTGTCCTGATGTCTTCAAAAAGAGTCCTGGCTTAAATGATTTAATAAAACTTTTATTGTTTTTTATATGCTTTGTATATGTATTGAAATCACTATCAAGTTTGTATATACTCTTTTCATATCAATACAAAACTCATTCGCTCAAGTATGAGTGAATCTGTTTCAGTCTTTGACCGGCCAATCCTTGGGAAAAAATATAGGAGACTTAGATTTGGCTTCTGTAATGTTTATCGGTTGAGCACTTGACCATGTGTTCCGGATTGGTCTCTCACTTTTTTTTGGAACAAGGTGCCTTAAATTGATATCAAAGCATCCAGCAAGGGAACAAGAAGATAAAAGGATCACTTCCAATCATCGACTTTCGAACCAGACTTAGAGCTGATCACTCAGAAAAAAATAATATGTCTCGCTGATCATGTAATGGGTCTAAATGAGCCTAACGTGGTTAGAGTAAACCCCTCCCTGCCCCAACCTAATGCAAGAGTCTGGCAAAAGTAAGCGTACAGAATAAACAAAACAACATGTAGTTTGGAGTAAAAACACAAGCAAAATAAAACAGAAATAGAAATAATCATCCAAACCTCAGTCGCACAATTCCTCCATGGCGGCGGTTCGGGAGGGGGGCGGATCAACCTCCCATCGTCTTCTTTCGCTCGTACACACCTGTTTGGAGCCTCTTCCTCGCCCATGGCCTCCTCTTCCTGACACAGATCGCCCTCATCACCCCCGAGAGTTAGCTTAGCACATTTGTTGACCGTCTTCTCCATCTCTACCACCGGACAAGGGCTCTCCACCAGCGTCGGTACAAACTAGTAGGGACAAACCCTAGAGATGACCGCACCTTACGAGATTATCCAGAGTTCCAAAACTCGATCTCGTGCTTCCAACCTAGGTGCAAACGAAGCACTTTGGCGCCCATCAATACCCTCGTTGTTGCTTCTTCTCGCTTCGATCGGCGGATTGGTCTCTCACTTGTAAATTTAAATAAATACATTACATTTAAAATTTTAAAAAGAAAAGGGTCAAATATACCCTTCTTTTTTTGGATAAACCTGTAAATATATATATCATCCGAAAAATAACATGTACACATGCGTCCAAAACTAAAAGGCAACCTACCAACAAGGTTGGTCACCATTTAATCAAGCAAGACACACACCCAATAACGGGTCGGTCCAAAACAACCAAGGCAAAACAAGCCATCAGAGGGTGTTGCAAGATGCACACACCAAAAGTTCAACGAAACATACACTAGCTATGGCCAAAGAAATAAAAAAGTGATCAATTCATAAGGATAGATGTTGTAGAGAATCTTGTAAACCACGTGCTTGATCTTTGCTACAACATCATCTTCAGTCTTCGTGATATCATCGAAACGACAAACATTCCTAGTATGCCAAACCCAATAAATCGTCGCACAGAAAGCCAAGCGAACAGTTTTTGATTTGATGAGTGCACCTCCATGGTCTCTCCTAGTCCACTTGATTGCTTTCTCCAAGGTGGTCATCTGTTTTGTAATTCCAATCCAGTCCCTTATCTTCGTCCAGATCCTGCACACAAATGGACAAACAAAGAAAAGGTGTGGTGTTGTTTCCTAACCACCCTTACAAAGGTCACACCGGTTAACCATATTAAGATAGGAAAGATTATCTTGTGTGGGTAACCGGTTCCGGAAAGCAAGCCAGAGGGTAAAAGAAAATTTAGGGGGAATGTACCCCTTCCAAATAAACGGCATCCAAGATCTTATTGTGCCTTTAGTACGCAATAAATCATAAACCTTCGCCGAGATGAGTTTGCCGTTGTTACACATTGTTCAAAGCCATAACAACCTCGTTTGTGTTGTGAAATTTCTGGCAAATCCTATTGCGAATAAGGCAAAGCTTCTTCATAAGCTGGGAGTCCCGATTGTGTGGGGGAAAATCTCACACACAATTTTTCCTTTAAGATAAACGCCATTAATCCATCGGACCCAAAGGGTGTCTTCTTTTTTGTGAATATTCCAAAACATATTAAGGAAAGCATCCCACCAACCCAACTTGCTAGTTATCCTTCTATCAGGAAACCCTCTAGACTATTATAGTTGTTTTATTCAATTTCCCAAGTTCATCAGCACACTATTCACAATCGAATAGTGCAAAGCCCCAGTGAAAGTTAAGTGTATGCCTTGTGTCTAAGTTTGTACCCTAATTCTCTTTAAATGTAAAGAGAGGCATGTAAGTAATCAATGACTAGCTCAATTTTAGGGTATATGTTCGAGTCCTAATTTGGTTTTGCACAACTTAAACAAAATCTAGTTCACAAGAAGTTACATCAGGGTTGAGGGGTGGCTTGCATTGAAGTTATTCCTTCACAAAGGATTTGTTTTTAAAGGTTTTTCCTAAAGTATTTCATGGAGAATGAAATTTGCTATATTTGAGATTTTGGTGTTATTTGATTGTGGGTGACTGTGTGCTACTTAATTTGTAAACTTGTTCCAGAACTTTTGACCGGTGGGCGTAGCTCAACTGGTAGCAAGGGAGTGCCACAAGGGTTAGGTCCCGGGTTCGAATCCCGGCAACGGCGATGAGGGGTTACTATACTAAAAATGCATAGGGTCTCTGCAAGTACCGGGAACAGAGCTCCACTCTCTATCTGTCAGATTGAGATTATAGTTCAATTTACATCTTCCCAACGTACCGTCCGGTCGGGGTTGGGGGACCCTCAGGGATGGGATGTCATCCCTTTTTTTTTGTTCCAGAACTTTTGGTTTTCTGTAGCTCAAACAATGTTTTGATTTTGTGTTTTGAATGTTTTCCTATATTATGGTGCTACTGATTCTTTTAGACTTTTAGTACGAGAATGTTACTATTTAGTACTGTTGAAGTTAAGTCCTTGCGGTCTAAAGACCCAACACAATTTCTTGGGCTTTCATCGGATCTTGTATACTAGTATTTGATTGTATTTAGTGAGTGATTAATTAGTAATAGAAGGCAAAAGGCAATACGAAGAAATGAGGTAAAGTGTACCCTGCGCCCCTATCTCTAGTTCTAAGCTATGTTGTAAAAACCGGATCGGAGAGTAACCCGGAGGGGATTACTTGGTCACGGGTCAACCCGGTAACACCCAATATATCGCGTAGTATTAAATACATAGATATAAATATGTAGTATCTTTTTCATCTTAAAACATTTTGTTACATAACAATGGCCACACAAAAAAGATGATACAGATCACCATAGAAACCCTTTTGATACTACACAACGGATGATGCCCTATGGCCTAGACTGCTAGACACACACACTGTATGGCATACATTAAGTACAACTCACTCTTTTCTCAATATACATAACCATCCCGAGAAGGGATTCAGTGAAACTACAACATATATGGAAATGCAAATGCGTGCAGCATGGCTAAGGCACTCCTACTTATTGATGTGTGAGAAGGGAAGCCGGGGGATGAGGGACTGTTTTGGTTCCTTCATTTTAAAAGAATCATATGAATGGTTTTCCCGAAACTCTTCGAGAAGAACCTCCATTGGCATTGCCCGCAGTGATTCAATATTGCCCTTGCTTGGAACATCAGACTCACTCCTTACTGGGGTATTCCCAGTAGGCTCATAATCCTGAGACAACATTTCAGGCATTAGCAAAAAAAGGTAGTGTATTAATAAATATATTAATTAGTCGTAGTGGTGATATTAATAACATGTTATCTGGTAATTCGGCGTACCATGTATTTCTGTTGGAATGTTTCACATGCTTTCTTCCCAATAGAGGTGCACTGTGTAGAGTAACCTTTCTGGAGTTCATCTAGTATTTGAGAATGTGCACTGGAAGTACTCAAAATACTAGATATAGAACTTTTCTCTTGCTCTGACAAACCTGAGGTTGGGATAAAAAACACAAATCACAAGAAATGTTATTTGAACCATAGTCCCATGCTAATGGCGGTTTTCAGGAGACAGTGTTTGGATTCATTTTTAGCAATTTTTACTTACCGTCAAACAGTTGTATAATATTTTCACTATTTAATTTCACATCTTCTTCAGCAGCAACTCTAGTGGAGTCAAACTCAGTCACATGGTTGTCATTACCATCACAGACATTCCTATAATTACAAAAAATTGCATACATAATTGAAATCCAAGCAGAAGCAGCAAAGTCAAGTCTACAAACATAATGGAGGCGCCCTTCTGCAGAACAAAAAGGAATATAACTAAATCAATTGAGATATACCTGACAAGTGAATGCACTGTTGAGACATGTTGGTTGCTCATGGCATTAACAGATTCATGTGTAGTCTGATATACCTCCAAAGCTGTTCCAGCATTGCTTACACTGTACAATAGG